GTATAACCTTTGGGAACGTATATAACCGGATTATGTTACAGTCAAATCTCTCGATGTGTCGATACAATTGGGACCTGATTTGCTCATCCTGATAATGGGACGGGCGCAATAGCGGCCGTCAATAGGGATGGGGGCCCAGTCCGGTGCAGATCGAAAGATCGAGTCGGAATTTTGGCCGAATTTTTTTTCAACCGAATTTTGGCCCGAAAAAGCTAAAAGGTCTGGCCTTCTAGAAACGAGGCCCGAAAGATGACTCGAACGTCAGTCCACTCGAAAACCCCCAACCCTAGGCGTCAAGTATCTCGAGAACATTCATAAAAATGATTTAATATATAGGAAAGGTTGATATCTAATTCGATAGAGCATTAAATATGATAATGAACGAAGCAATAATAATTATTTCAAGGGATATCTGGATATAATACTAATAACTTGAATGACGTTGAATTTGGATATTTCAAAGAAAAAATTTTTTGTTGGTAATAAAAATAATTTTTAGGACTAAAAATACGTTTTATAAATAACGAAAAATAATTTTAATCATTTTTAAAATTCCTCCAATTTAATAATAAAATTCCTCAACATAATTTCGACACCTTTATGACCGCCAAAAATGATGAAATTAGGTTTTGCACTAAAAAAATAGAGTCTCTCCCTAATTTGATGATTCAGAAAGGAAATGACTTGGAGAAGGAAGTTGTTGAGAATGACAGTTTTTGGGGGGAAATGAAGAAAAAATATTTTTAGTTAAAAAATGTTTAATCACTCTAAGCACTCTTCAAGGTCATTTTTGGCAATTTTTTTGAAATAAACTGTGAGTAAACTGATTGAGACTGAAAAAATGTAGAAAAAATGAGGAATTTCTATTTATAGTAAAAATGTTCTAAAAATATCACGTAAAATAATTTAAAAAAATTATCGATGTTGCTAAGGTTAGCTGATAGCTAAGGTTAGCTGATCACCTTATCAGATTTATAGTTTCTTCCGCTTATTGTAAGATACCTAGTAGAAGTAATAGTCAAAGATACAGCAAATGCGAATTCGAACAAGACGATGCATCATAGCATTGATCTTGTAAAAAACTTAACTATGATTTATTAATATACCTATATGATCGACTATTATTATAGGATCGACTGCGTCAATATGCCTGTCGGTACTTTTATTTTAACTGTAAAAATTTCAGAAAAGTCTAAATTCTAATTATAATTTCTAACTTTATCTGTTTGACCCCAAAATATTTCCATTTATTTTTATTTTCCCAAATTTTTTCGTGCTGCCCGAGAAAGACGATTAGATCGTCCATTTAGTTAAAGCACAAAAAAAGATAGAGAAAAAAAATTTTTTTTCTCGAGAATCTCTTTCTATCGCCCACCCATTGGAATTTTTCTTTTCTCTGATGGCTAACTAAAAAAATTAAAAAAAAAGACAAAACGATTAGATTGACCAGCTAGCAGCTTTTACTCGCGCAAGTCTCATTTATTTTATTTATTTATTCCCCACACACAAATAAAATTAAAATAAAATTAAAAAAGGGGATATTGCAAAAAGACAATAATGAGGTGGAAAATGGGATATAGGAATGCTCTTTCTAATTTTTAAAATTTTTTTGAATAAATTTTAAAAAACGAGCTCCCCTAAAAAATTTTATTTAACGTTTATTGTCTATATCTCGTTTGCTTTATTATAAAATTTTTTTGATCCTTTTATTTACTTCTTAAAATGTGAATCAAAGCATTTTCGAAATTCGATTTCCTATTTAAAAAATTTTTTTTGTTTCAAAACATCTCTGATATGTATGGACCAGAGAACGAGCCGTCCCGATTCCCGAAAATCGGGAATTTTGTAAGGTGTCTCGTGGACACCTTAAACATGTTACTAGACGAAAACGTGAAGGGGTTCTCCAAAAATTTCATTATCATTCTCGATATTCTCTTTATTCTTGAGCATGATTCTCGATCTATATAATGTACAAAGCTCTCTCTCCGTCTTGCTAGGTCTCCCATTCTTAGCATTATTAGCTTAATCATCCCTCTATTTATTTTTAAAATGTAGTTAGCTCAATCATCTCCATAAAAAATAAAGAATATTTTTAACTTTCCACAAATTATTATTTTAATTATACTTTTCTCAAAAAAATTCATTTTTAACTGATTCAAATTTAAAAACAATAAAATGCCCTTTCCATGTTTGCCCCAATTTTCCAAAAAAAAAATTTTTCTTTGTTTTCTGCGAATAATTTTTAGTAGTTTTTAAAGAATATGCATGTCTTGTTGATTTATCATTTGAATAAATCAGCAATTTATTTTTTTAATTTTTTATTTAAATTATTTTCGCTATAATGAATATAACCTTTTATTATCCCTCTTAGTTTAATTAAACACTTGCAATTAATTTTTTATTTTATTTTTTATTATTTTTATTAGTTTATTACTAATAATTTTGGATGATTTTTTTCTAATATTTTTCTTGTTTTTAGTTTTGGTAGCTATCCTTTTAGAATAATATTTTTAAAAGAATTTTTAATAGAAAATAGGAAAAAATAAGGGATCGGGCCGACGTTCGACTCATTTTTTATTAAGCCGGCCCGACCGAGTCTTTTTCGGGCCAAAATCGATGACGACTCGATCTTTCGGACTGGACCGGCCCACAACCCTACTAAAGAACCACCGACATATTAGACAAAGGATCATGCTGTCCCTTTCACACGATCAGGAAGTTATCGAGAATTCCGGATTCCATCAATCAAGAATACTATTTTTATGTCAGCAGTAGGGTTCCCCGCCCCCCCCTCCCCGTGGCGCTGCCTCCTCCCGTCGGGGAACAGCCCTAATCATCAGACATGAAAATTTTCCTTAAAATATTTTTGTCCGTTTTGATCATCTTTTCTCTCATTCATGATTCTCTCTCAACATTATTTATTTTAAAAAACTAGCCTAATCATAGTACAAAAATTATTTTGTTATTAATCATTAACTGTTATATGTATAAATTCCTAGGTTATTCTTCGTTTTTTAAATTTTTTCATTAATTTTTTCTCAATTTTCATGCATTAGGAATGGAGACAAAGACGGAGAGGTTTTGTAAGCTAATTGAGACCATCATCTTGAAAATCTCACTTCTCTATAACCGAGATATTAGTTCGGGATCTCTACTTGGTCTGATTTCTAATTAGGGAGCAGGCCCAAGATACCGCAGAGCTATAACTTCGTTCAGAATTGTCGAATCCGGGACGCCCTGGTATGGTTCGATTCGGCTCGCCGAGACGCATCTAACCATATCAGTTCGTCCCGGATTCGACAATTCTGAACGTAGTTATAGCTTTGCGGTACCTTGGACCTGCGGTCCTTGGTGTGTACCCCTATAATCAGAATCTTTTTTATTTCTGTCACCCCTTAAATCAACTCTTAAACTCCAAAAACTCCTTGAATTCCGATTTAAAAATTTTTAAAATTTTAATTATTTAAAAATTAAAATTTATTAAACTTCGCGCGAACTAATTTTTATATTTTTATTTCGCTCATTGTTGTTTTATTTAAATAGAATTGGGGTCATCCTTTTGCTTTTTCTGCCCAAATTCTTCTCATTAAATTATTTTTGTGTGTACTTCTTCTCTCATCATTAACCAGCCACATCATCATCTTTAGCCTTCACGTCACAAAATCTCGGTTTAATTACCTCGCATTGGTTAAATAATGTTGATCAGACAAATTTAAATTTGACAAAATGTCTAAAACAAATTTACACGAATAAATGAGCTTTTATTGCCTGACTTTTTCCTCAGATTAATACTTACTTAAATAAACTACTCCCGTTATAATCCCAAAAATACACTCCCTTCCCCTCCTCAAAAATAGAGTATAACACCCAAAAAAGATTTCCGTTATAGCCACATACCAACGGATCGGTCAATCAAGTCTGCCCGAAATAATTTCGTATTGTAAGGAATTATGGACTTAAGTTTGGACTAAATTGATACCGAGAGAGGAATGAGGCAAGTAGACTAGAGATCATGCTGTCGCTTTCCCACAATCGGGAATTTCCGTTGTTTTTTGTATCGAGAATTCCGGATTCCAGCAATCAGGGATACTATTTTGATGTCAGCACTAGGGTTGTTCCCCGTTCCCGTCCCTCCACTGTGGCGCTTCCTCGTCCCGTCGGGGAACGTAATATCTCGAAATGAGATTTTCTGATCTCCATTTAATTCGGGTCCCCTCAAATTCTGTCTTCCGATATAACGTCCTCTTTGCTCCGATTCCGTCATCTATAACACATCAGGCTATGCAAGCTTGATTTTTCAACAATTTTCTTCCCCAAAATTTTCTTATTTTTCTTCCTCTGACTGGACATTTTACTAACTGAACCTTTTGATCAAATATAAGGATAAACAACCCACACCTTATTATAATCCTGCTTTCCGTTCATTTCTCATAAAATATATTCAATAAATATATCCTTTCACAGCCAATCACCCCACCATATTTTTAAACCCATCATTACTCTAATAATTTAAAATAGGGTCAGTAAAAGTTGAAAAATTTTTATTTTTAATGCGCGGAAAAGTTTATTATTTTCCTTCCTTGTTTTAATTAAATTCTGAATTTTAAATAAATATATAACTTTAATAATTCAAAAGACTGTCATTAATTTTTTAGTTAAGATTTAGAGGTTTCTGTACGTTATGTGGCCCCTAATTCATTTCAGAAGGGAATTTTTAATTTAAATTTCAGCAGGAATTTAAATTAACATTTATATTCTTAACATAATCCTTTATGCCCTCAAAATATTTTTATTAAGTAAAATTATCCTTCTAGAAAAAAATATTTTTATAAGAAAATTTTCGGACGATGAAGCAACATAACCGGAAATAACGCCGATTTAGCTCCTATATTCTGAATTAATTCTGATTTTAATATTTATTTTTTTATAAAATTCTGATATTTCAGAATTTTTATTTTTCTGATTTTTAAAAATTTTTAAATTTTATTTTTTAAAGTGCAATGAAAAATATTCACACGGGTCATAAAAGGCCTAGAAATAGAAAAATAAAATTATACATTTCATATTTAAATTTATTAATTAGTATTTTTGTAATAACTACATTATTTGTAAATATAAATGGAACAGAATCTGATGAAGTATGTTTGTTTATTTAAATTCTGATTTATTTTTAATTAATTCTGATTTGATAATTCTGATTTTCTGAATTTTTATTTATTTATTCTGATAATTTAATTCTGATTATAATTTAATTCTGAATATTAAATTCTGTTTTTATAGTTATTCTGATTTTAATAAGAATTCTGTTTAGATTAATTCTGCTTTTATTAAGTTAATAAGTTTATTCTGATTTTTTTATGTCTGTTTCTGAGAATAGTAAGTTTTAAATTCTGAAGAAATAAATTCTGAAATAATGAGTTCTGAAATTAATAATTTTGGAATATTAACCCCTGATATAATATATTCTGGAAATTAATTCTGATATAATAATAATTCTGAAATAATAAATACTATAACGATAAATTCTGAAATAATATATCCCAAGGCGAAAATTCTGAAATAACAATATGTAATTCTGATATTTGAAAAAAAAATTTTAATTCTGCTTTTATTAACTCTTTATATTTCTATCTATTTCTTCCTCTCTCAATTGTTGAGTTAGTTAAGTGGTTTGTATTTCTGTTTTGTTTGTTTTATTCTCTATAAAATTGTTTGGACGATGATTTTAAAATTTAGCACTTACTTGGATTGAAAGATAATGATGCTAGTTATTCTGTATGAGTCCTCAAACTTTTTTTATTTTAATTTTTGGACTAAAAATAATTTTTTAGTCGGGCACTTCAGTCGATGATGAGGAACCTGTCTTTTCACAGTCAGCCCAGCATTTATTTAAAAACGAAAATTCTAACGAGGATGCTGAAAAGCATCCAATTCTAGAGGCTTCTAGCCCTTCCAAAAATCATAGACAACACCGGAAAAACGTAACATTTTTTAAAATTTTTTGATTTTATTTCTTAATCCATCATTAGTTAAAAATTCAAAATTTAGCCTCCACCTTTTGTACTAGCCGATGTACAACTCTCATGCGCAGAAGGATGGGAACGATTTGAGGGAAAGTGCTATAAACTCATTTCTATAGAAAAGTCGTGGCCTCAGGCCCTAGCCTTCTGTTCCCGCTTTGGAGCCAAACTGGTCCGTCTTGAATCTTCCGAGGAAAATAAATTTTTGGCAAAATATTTGTTGAGACCACATTTAACATCTGGGTAGCTATTTTTACTCAAATTTCCTTCAAAATATTTTTTCAAGTCCAACAACTTCCTCTTCTGAATATTGGATCGGTCTTTTATATAGACCTTTAATGATGGATTCATCAATTTCATCCTCTTCATCCCACTCAAAATCTTTAATGGATGGCTCTTTTCTGTGGAGCGATGGTTCGCAGACTTCTCGCTATGTTGGCTTTTGGTCCTATGGACAGCCTGATCCTGCAAATGGAAGTTGCACAAAAGTAGGGGAGATTTAAGGCACATTCCAAATCCACCCAGTATCCCTGTCTTTTGCTTTTCTTAAAGAAACAGAGGAAAAGCATGGTCCGAGTTTCAACGTCATTCCAGTTGAAAAATCTATGGATATATTTATTCAAGACCTCATGCTTTGATATATCCCTAGTTTCGGGGTATCTCTCAAACGCTGAGATGTCCATTGAGATATAAACTTCATCCAATCCCCGATTTTTAGATACTTGTAGATGGCCTGCAAATAGAAGGACCAACATGGCAATTAGATGTCTGTAATCAACTTAGGCCATTTATCTGCGAACAGAATGCTTGTATTAAAGGTAGTTTACAGAAAATGAAGTGAAAATGTAGAATAATTTGAGGATCTTTTTTCTGCCAAAACGGTGTATGCCTCCCTGAACGCGCCCATTGCAATGGGATTGATGAATGTGGTGATTCTAGTGATGAGTTTAACTGTCCATGTAACTTTCTTAGGAAAATGTTCAAATTTTGCCAAAATTATTTTTAAGCAGCCCATAGTGAATTGTCTTGTCAACGATACGAGAAAGGGGAATCTGGACGTATTGAAACACCCAACTTTCCTGCAAGTTATAGACAAGGTGCCAACTGCCGTTGGGTTATAGAGGGACCGCTTAATTCGAAAATTCAGGTGATTCCGCGAAGTATACCAGATTCTTCGTTTAATAACACCATTTTCAGCTAAATTTTGACTCCTTCGAGACTGAAGAACGCCATGATTTAGTTACTGTATTAGATGGAGGTCCTTCAGAAAATTCTACTTTTGCTCTATCAACAATTTCGGGTACCCCTCGTAATACAGAAAAGCTCTCCTTTGAATCAAGCACAAATAGAATGATAGTCCAATTCAGAGCGGATCAGAGCATTCAAGCTCGAGGATTTCAAGCTAGTTGGAGAACTGGTAAATTATTGTGAGTATACGTTATCCAATACTGTTCTCCTTTTAGTTCCAATATCTTGTGGAAATCAGCAGCTCAAAGCCTCTTCAATTGGCCAGCAATTTCACAGTCCAGAATGGCCCAGAAATTATCCTAAAGGCTTAGAATGTGTTTGGCGTATAGAAGCACCTTCGGGCCAATTAATTTCTCTATTTATTGATGAATTCAACACTGAAGCTGAGACTGATTTCTTAACAATTTATGATGGACCGAGTCCTTCTGAGCCTATACTGGCTAGATTCAGTGGACAAATGGTAGTGTTTTTTTAAAGAAAGTTTTGATATATTATCAAAATCTCTCAAAATTTATCAAAAAATTATTTTTAAAGAAGGAACCTCAACTAATAATTTCAACTCAATCTCAAGTCCATATCTACTTCTTCAGTAGCGAGTCTGTTTCTCAAAAAGGCTTTACTATTACATACAAAAAAGGTAGAATATCTTGGTTTTCAACTGGTTCTTGTTGATTAGCAGCTACTATTAACTATTCTCTTTTGTGAGAGAGAGGAGAGACAGAAGAGACATACCTTGGAGACTTACCTAATCCTATAAAGCTTGTATCAAAACTCTTACCTGGTCTTGTTACTTACAATTAGTATAAATTCGAGATATTAAGCCAAAAATATGGGTTGTATGATGGTGAGTCGAGCCAAACCAAAGTCATAAATTATGGTTAGAACCTCCAATTCTGTACAATCCCCCCTTTCTCTCCTCAAAATTAAATAATTAAATTCTCAAGGCTGTGACAACTCTATCCGTCGCTCACACGGAGTCTTAACATCGCCCGGAAATGCACATTTGCCCTATGCTCCTTCACAAATTTGTCGATGGAGTATAGAATTACCCTCTCAACAAATCGAAAACTTTGAAGCTGCAGCAGAAATTCCATCATTGTCTTTAGTTTTGAATTCGTGGGATGTTGCCGATTTAGGCGATAAATTACAGATTTATGAGGGAGGTGAGGATGGAAGTAGCAATGGGAGACCGTTGCATGAAAGTGATGGTTTTACTGTTAATAATGCTCCACCTAAAACGGTAGATTTATTTGCCTATTTTTTCTTAATTTGCATTTTTCTCATATAAGACCTTAAATCTTGGTGTATCGCTAAAGCATCTCCCCCTTCCCCTATCAAATTTCAAAAAGGTTTTTTAAATTGGTGTGTATCTAGGGGTTTTATAATGAGGGGTACCTTACATTATTGGGCATCGCCTAGGCTTCCTACCTCCATTAGCTTACCAAATTCAAGAAAAACATCCTAGACTTATGTATCTCTAGTGTGTATCTTTAGTGAACTCCTTTAACCTTATCCTTAGATTTATGCAAAACAAGGGCGAGTTGAACTCGTTTGGCGTTCTAATGTATTAAACAGTGGAACTGGATGGAATATTTCTTTTTCGACAAGTGAGAGGAAGATAAAGGAGAATCTTCCACAATAATTTTTTAAATTTAGGTTGCCCTCCTCTCTCATTACCCTCCCGTCGTGTTCTCCTCTCCACTAAAAACACAGCCTATGGTACCCACGTTACTATAAGTTGTGAAAGAGGCTTTGAATTTTCAACGGGGCTCGGCAGGCATTTCGAAACAGAATGTGAATTGGGAGGTCTGTGGAGCAATTATGCACCTGTTCCAGACTGTCAACGTAAAATTTCATTAAAATTTTTGAAGTAACTTTCAAAAACTCCTTTAGCCGTGTACTGCTCGACAATTCCTCAAATAGCTAACGGCTTTGCTGTCTCAGCAACCAACGTCTCGTATGCTGGAATGGCTCGCTATCAGTGTTATGAAGGGTTTAGCTTTGCTTCTGGGAAGCAACATGAAGAAATATTTTGTACAGACGAAGGCCGTTGGACACAATCGCCCAAATGCAAAAGTCCTTGGAACAATTATTTCCCCTATTTCATATTTTACGTTTCAGCTGATGCCTGTCCCGCACTCCCATCTTTTGTCTCCGGTGAAAGAATTCTTCAATTTGGGGACGGCATAGGCTTCGGCAGCGTTTTCCAATTTCATTGTGCGAAGGGTTACTTTATTGAGGGTCCTTTAAGCATTGTTTGTCGTCCGAATGGAGAATGGTCCTCTCCACAGCCTCTTTGTAAAAGTAAGCCTTATTGAGGTTAAAATTATGGATAATATTAAAAATTAATAGAATTGACTTGTACTGATATCCCAATTGTCGAAAATGGTGAACTACATTTATTGCCTAGCAATAATATGGTTACGGATGAAAAATCCATCAAGGATAAAAAATTAAAGGATCAAACCAAGAGCTTTGGATCTAAACAAAAAATGGAATTTAAAACTAAAAGAAGTATGGTAATTCGAGAGTTGCAATTTGGAGACTCTCTACGAGTTGAGTGCCATTCTGGTTTTCAGTCTGTAGGAGCGGAAACACTTAAATGCTTGGCTAATCAAACACTTAGTGGAGTATGTTTTATTTTATGTAGAATAATGTAGATCTCTTAAAAACACTAACGGATTGTAACCCAAACTCGTTTAACAAATCCACACCCTGGTATTTTTATGTTACCTAAATTTGGCACCTGAATATTGTAGTCAAAAAAAGTTTCGAAATAAGAGACAAACTTGCCAAAATATCCCCTTTAATATATCAAATTTTAAAAGATTCCGAAATGCCGCGATATCGATGAATGTGAGTTACAATCTGCAGGAAATTGTGCCACAAAATCAACAACTTGTGTGAATATGCCAGGCGGTTTTCATTGTCAATGTCAACCTGGATATAAACCAAAACTGGGTAGAATAAAAAATATTTCTTAAAGAGCTCAGGCAAGACGAGATCCTGTTCATTTTTCGGGGTATCCGATTTTTCGGGGTATCCAGCTCGCAATTGATTCTCAAGTCAACTTTAGTCTCTTAAAATGTTAACCTTATTTCTAAGACTGTTCTGGACCCCTGTCTATTATACCAACAAAAATACAAACATCACATGGTGTGCCAATACCGGTTCAACAGCTCAATTCAAAAAATGGATGGTGTGCAGATACAACAATAACAAATGCTCAAATGCTTGAAAAACGGATAATGCCCTTTAATGAGTCAATTAGTAGCAGCTCTCCATCAACAATTTTAACTTTGATATTCACTTTCCCCGTGCCAAAGGTACAAAATTTGTTAGAAAAAATTTTATCTTCCCCAAAAATCAGATAATCGAAAAGCTGCATCTTGAAAAAGTTGTTGTTCCCAACGCTTCTGCCCCTTCTGGAATTGCTGGGGCAATCGCAGCAACACCCGAAGCTTGGCCTCAACGTTTTACGCTTTCTTATTCAATTGAGGAAGGAATGCCGTTTGAAGTGTATAATGGAGGACTTGCTGAATTGGGAGGGAATAACAACATTACTTCAACTAACGAGAATAAAAAATCTAATGAAAGAAAATTAAATACTCCAAATACTAAAGAGATTAGAACAAGAGCTTTAGGTATAATATAACTTAGAGTTTATGAATTAAGTTCTGTGAACTTATGATGATCATAGAGCTAGGAAAGACATTAATGCAATGATAAGAGGAGTTCAACAAGGGTGCTTGTTACATTGGTTAGAGCAACGTTAAGATCCGATTCTTATTACTATGGCTCGGATTTTTAGATTTTAAAAACTTAAAAATATGTAGGTACCTAAATAGAGAGTTGGGTCGGGACAGTCAGAGGTGTCGGAAATCGGAAGAGCCAGAAATCGGAACTGGCTTAAAAGTCGGAAATCGGATAGGATGAATGAAACGCCTCAAATAGATTGCCAATTTCGATGCATATTTATGTGCATTGCGTAAATCTTTCCAGCTCTAATGGTAGACTTGGATTTTTCTAAAGGAAATTATTATGAACATAAGCTTATACAACATTCATGTTATAATTTAGGAGCAATAGGCTCGGAGATTCTTGTATTGGCCAAACCAATCGAGGCAAGAACATTGCAGATCGACTTTCTAGAATTTCATGGCGGTGTTCCCTGCATGAAATTTGAGTTTTTGGGTTGTCAACGGACTGCATGTGAAGATATTAATGAATGCGAGGATGGTCGTAATGGAGGTTGTGAACAGCATTGTCACAATACACAAGGTGGACATCGTTGCAGGTAAAAACGAAGGGATTAGTGAATGGAAGGGAGGCCCTGTTTGAAGGGAAGGGAGGCCCTTTTGAAGGGAAGGGAGGCCCTTTTGAAGGGAAGGGAGGCCCTTTTGAGTGGAAGGGAGGCCCTTTTGAAGGGAAGGGAGGCCCTTTTGAAGGGAAGGGAGGTCCTTTTGAAGGAAAGGGACGCCCTTTTGAAGGAAAGGGAGGCCTTCGAAGGAATGGATAGACATCTTTGCAAAGGAGGGATTAGACTTCCTTATAAGGAAGTCTATGTTCGCCCTTCTATAAGAGGGGATCAGATCTCTTTATTAGCTCCTTGGAGGCCTTGATGTCCCGATTGAAAAATTTTGAGCGTTTGATGAAAAGAGGGCATCACTCCTTAACTATTAAATAATACTTATAGCTGTGAAGAAGGCTTTGATTTGTTCGTTGAACCAGGCCAAAGTGGTGTTCGTTTACGTGAAGGTGAATCAGGCTATGGAGAATTCGATTCATTGCGATTTAACCATTCCTGTATTCCTCGACATTGTGCTCCTTTGACGACACCAGAAAATGGCCAATTAATAGCTCAAAATCTGTACAAAAATTTTAAAAATGAAGTGAATAATACAAACAACAAAAACGAGTTTTTTTCGTCTTCATTTGCTTTCCCTTCAATTGTGGAGTTTCGGTGTACTTTTGGTCATCAAATGCGTGGGCCTTCACATCTTAAATGTTTGGCTGATGGGACATGGAATGGAACAGTTCCATCATGCATACGTAATTAATTTTATTGTGATTCTTTCCTTCTCTCATACAGTATTCTTCGCCTTTTATAACTCTTTGGATGGGAAATGCGGAGAGGGCAGGGAGCTAGTTTTGCCTCTATAACGTGAGCTATTTTGGCTCTTACAACGGAAGGAAATGGGCCCATATAACAGAAGCTTGGGGCCTTTGAAACGTGTGCTGTGTGTCATCCCATGACCCTGTATCATCCCATGACCCTGTAAATTTTACTTAAAAAACAAAAAATCTTACAGCTGCCACCTGTTCCGGCGTAAAGAATAGCACAGCTGTTGGACTCTTTGTACAGCCTGAAACCGTCTCCATTCCTTTTGGCCAAAATTTAAGTTTTGTCTGTTCCCAAACTAATCGACCGCCAAAACATTCTGCACTTGGAGAAATCCGTCAATGTATTTATGATCCTCGAACTGATGGACTGGAATACTGGTTAAGTGGCCCAGAAGTTGATTGTCCGCTTGTCGATTGTGGACCTCCTCCTGCCCTATCAGGGGCTTATTATGAAGGAGATGAAGGGCATCATGGAGGAAACTTTAAAGTAGGAAGCGTCTATTTATTCCAGGTGAATATGTTATTTAAATAAGGTCTTATTTCAATATAAGATAAATCATTTGGACTTAAGAATTGTGTCGTAAAATGAGTACTGTATTTATCTAATTGAGAGGGTGACTCTAATTTAACAGCCGTCTCCGACAGATCGAGCCGATCAAGAGAGCCTTTGAGGTGATCAAAGAGCCTTTAAGGTGATCAAAGAGCCTTTGAGGTGAGATCGAAAATAGTCGTATAAGTTCAACGGGTATCTTAAACTGAGTAGTATCTTGGGAGTATCTGATAGTCAGATTCGACTTATTATCATTATTAATAGTGCCGTGCTCCATATTCTCTTGTTGGAAAATCTTCATATGATGACCGTATGGTTCGTTGTAATGTAGACGGAACATGGGATTTGGGTGATTTACGTTGTGAAGGTGCGTTGAATTTCTAGTAACTTTACACGTAAAAATATATTTATAGGCCCTGTTTGTGTTGACCCTGGCCATCCAGATGACGGACAAACATTTTTGGACTCTGTTGAGGAAGGGGCTGTTGCAAGTTTCAGTTGTAACAGACCAGGATTTAAGCCATTCCCTGCAGAAACTATAAGTTGCAGTCTTGGAACGCCTTGTGTATTGAGTGAGGATGTTGGAATTTCTTCTGGTTTTATTCCTGATGGAGCTTTTTCTGATAATTCTGGTCTTAGCTTTATGATTTTCCCCAAAAAATTTTTTCCTATTAAGACAAGGTAATTTGGGGATATGAACCTCACAAATCGCGCATGTCATCTTCTGGTTGGTGTGGCTCTAAGGATGCCTTTATCTTCCTTTCTGTGCATCTACAACGAATTTATACACTTACAACACTGAGGTTAACTGGTGTTGCTGGTAATGGGCATCTGTCTGGTCATGTTACAAAAATGCAGCTTTTTTATAAAGTTCAGTTCAGTCAAAACTATGATAACTATCCTATGGTAATGATTAATTTAGTGATGATATCATGACAAAAAATTTTAAGGAATTCTCTACACCCTCAGGAAATCACAGAAAAATTTACCAATTTACCCTTAATCCGCCTCTACGAGCCCGTTACATTCTCTTGGGTATTACAGAATATGAAAAGAACCCTTGCCTTCGTTTTGATATGCATGGATGTTTAGCTCCTCTGTCTACCACACACGAAGTTCCAGCTCATTTACAAGTGATCCTCTCTCTCTTTCTCTTACTTCTAGTCCCTCTCTCTCATTTCAGGTTGGCTGGAATGCAAGTATCCCTCAATGCTTAGATGCTGAACCGCCAACATTTAAAAATTGTCCCCAATCACCCATAATTGTACAAACTGATGAGAACGGGCAATTGTTCCCTGCCAATTATGTCATACCTGAAGCTACTGATAATTCAGGAAGGATTACTTACATGTGCTTATTTTGGAAATTAAAAAAAATTTTTTTATTATGATTTCAGGCTAACAAAGCCAGAAGACTTCCATCCACCCTATCCAGTCAGTCAAGACACTGATATAATCTATCAAGCTTTTGACGATGCGGGGAATATGGCTGAATGTGCTGTTCGGCTAAGAATACCTGGTTGGACTTGGAGTTGATTTTTACTCTAGAAAATCCTCATTTTAGACACAGTTCCTCCCATCTTGAAGTGTCCTGATTCTTATGCTATCTGGGCACAAGAAAATCAAACTGAACTTTACATGCAGTTCAATGAATCCTCAGTACGGCTAGTTGTGCAAGACCAATCTCCAATTACCCAAATTTCCTATGATCCTCCCGAAGCTCGAATTAAACTTGATTCACACGTCACTGTAAGATACCGTATTTTTAGGTCGAAATTTTTTATTTTTTACCCCCAAAGGTTGAAGCCTCAGTTCTGGATGCCCATTCTAATCGAAATAAATGCAAATTCCAAGTAGCACTGTTACCCGAACCTTGTAGTCCTTGGTCCTTACGCATTGACGGAGCTACCGTTCAGAAACAATGTCAACGCCATGCTAGTGGCACAGTTTGCCAAGTCCAATGTCGCAAAGGATATCGCTTTCTAGAATCCTTCCCTCAACAAAAAAGCGAAGTTAAGAAACAACAAAATAGTACTAATACACTTCCACAACGCTATAGTTGTTCGATGGAACAACAATCGGGAAAATGGTTGCCCTCGTATGTGCTATTTTTAGGAACTTTTCAATATTTTTTCAAAACCTTCCAGGCCAACTCCACCTGCATGTGTACCAATGGCTATGGAACCTGCTCGTTACGAGATGAGAGTTCACATGAATTACAGCCTTACTTCACCTTTACCGAGTGATTGTGCTAAGGTAAGAGGAAAGGCTTTAGATCAGGGCTCCGATCGACAAAATGACACTCAAAAGTATCAAAATCTTGATTAAAAAGTATATAGGGAGAAAATTTGTAAATAAAAAGTAGTCTCAAAATTAAATTAGAAAATATTTATTCGTCCTCAAATCTTTTATATTTCTCTCCTAAATGAATCTTTTCTAATAATTTCTTGTTTCAACTGAGCATTTTGTCAATTTCAATGCACCTTTTGTGGCGCCGAAGGCGCCAAAAAATCTATTTTTTGCGCCGCAGGCGAAAATTTTGAGAATTTTGGAAGTCCTTAAGCCAAATTTCTTCCATTTTTTGCGCCGCAGGCGAAAATTTTTTGAAATTTAGAGCCCAAGAAGATAGATTTCATCCTTTTTCAGCGCCGCAGGCGAAAATTTTGAGAATTTTGGAGGTTCTTAAGCCAGATTTCTTCCATTTTCAGCGCCGCAGGCGAAAATTTTGAGAATTTCAAAGGCTTTCAAAGGCTTTTCACTTTTTTGCCCAATCACTTCCCCAATTTTATTTTCAATCAAAAAAAAGTATATACTTTCAAAAAAGTATAAATTCTATTTCGTAAGTATGGAGGTCGATTTAAAAGTAGAATACTTTTAAAAAAGTAGGAATCGGAGCCCTGCTTTAGATTATACATAGTGATGTCACTATCTCGGAGCCTAACTTTCTCTTGTAGCCGATCTTAGAGTGCCTAGATTTCCGGGACTTAAAAGCGGGAAGAATACCATATCCCTGTTCCAATACCTCTAAACTACTTTTCAAGAGAAAATTTTAGAGTTATGAACTGTTAGTTGGATCTTTGTTCGACAGCATTGACCAAGTATTGAGCCAGCGTTGTTCAAGTACTGTACAAATTTATGTTCGCTTCTTGGATGCCAAATTCTCGCAGATGGGCGAGAAGACTGTTAGTTTCTTTGAAAAAAAAATTATAAATCATCTGCTTCAGATGGGTGCAAATTTCACCGTGCAAATTTTGCCTACTGTTTTGCAGCAAGTATTTTATGAACTATGCTCGCTAACTCTTCGCACAATTTTTGACCTTCGAATACCTGGAGCTACAGTACCTATTAGGTCTTTGCTGACACTTTCGGGTGATTCTGTTCCAGCTATCTTGGTAGTAACCTAAAAAGCTATCACGAAAAAAAATTTTTTAAAGAATCTTGGTTGTCCTCCTATAAATGCTTCAAGTATCTCAGTCTCTCAAGGTTTCAGTTGCTCACAAGGGGAACTACTCAAATTGCAAACACCAAATGTTGGATCAGACGATTTACTATCTGCAGCGCCTGGACTTCCAGAATGCTGTATGAGATATTATTTGAAAAGAATTTTTTATAACACTTACATCAGTGTCTTCACCGTTATGGAGCCGCCCATAGAATGAACATAAAAAATTGAACCCGTTCAGAACCTTGGATCTAGTTGCACCCCGACTCCGTTCCCGAAGTTCGGGGTGCAACCCCACTTGGAACCACGAATCCTCTTGATTTTATAACTGGAAAAACACTGATTTATTTACGTACTATCAATTTGAAGTTTCAATAATTCCCTTTCCCAAAACAGTTCCCTGCCCAAAAGGAACAGCTTTTGTCAACAACAGTTGTATTCAATGCCCAATGGGCTCTTTCCAGGATCAAGAAGGGCAGATTCGTTGCAAACCCTGCATAGAGAATACTTATACTTTACAATCTGGAGCTCAATCTAATGAATCGTGTTTGGGTTAGTTTGGAGTAGAGATCGGACTGAGTTGGATTATCGTTCAAAAGCTCATTTATTGTGTGATTTTTCGACTAGTCCGGTCTCTAATTGGAACGACCGAATTTTAAAATAAAACCTATCCTCTACCTTTCTAGACGTTTGCGGCAACGGAATGTTTTCAGCTACAGGAATGATTCCTTGTCAGCTATGCCCTAGACATACATTTGCTGGGCCTCCTCCAATTGGAGGCTATAAGGAATGCGAGCCGTGTCCGGAAGTGAATATTTTTTAGGATTTTTAAACAAAATTTTTGTTAGGGAACATATACAGCTCGCCTGGGCTCTGTCGGCCCTAGCCATTGCAAACAACCTTGTGCTCCAGGGCATTTTTCTGTAACAGGGTTGGAGCCTTGTTCTCCATGCCCAATTAATTTCTATCAGGTAATTGGGGTAATTTATGAAGATTTTTTAATTACTCGATTTAGCCGAATATTGGCCAGCAGCGTTGTCTTCAATGCTCAAACGATTCTTTCACTGCAGAGACTGGTAGATCTGCCGATGAGCATTGCAAAAAGCTGGATTGCCAAACACTTAAATGCCAGAATAGGGGGCAATGCGTCGTGGCTAATCATAAGGTATTTCTATTAGAAAATAAGATTGTCATATCAAAAAGTTATTTAATCACATCCCGATGTAATAAAATGTTTTTGGAAAAAGTGAGAGAAGGAGTATTCTATTTCCCCAATACCTCTCTTAGAGAGAGTTCCCTAAGTCTTACTGTACTCCCCTTAGTCATTCACCTTACTCGTTCACCTCAAGGAGTCGTCTACGTTTTATTCGAGGCGAAGATTCTTAGGCGAATAATAAATTTTTAAAAATATTTCTAGGAAGTTTGCGAATGCCGCCCAGGCTTTATGGGTTCTCACTGTGAACAACAAATACCTCTCTGTGACTCTCACCCCTGCCTTAATGGAGGCACTTGTGAATTACACAACGGAGCTTTTCGTTGTATATGTCCTCAAAACTATACTGGCTCGAGATGTCAATTTGGACCGGATGAATGCATCTCTTCTGTTCATTGTCCAAATGGGGGTGTATGTCAAGACTTGCCTGGGCTTGGAACAACAAAGTGTATTTGCAGGTGTGATTGATATTTGTGCCCCTTCTCAAATCATTTTTTATTCATTAAAGGACCGGTTTCACCGGACCAGACTGTTCTCAAATCTCTGATCCTTGCCAAAGCGACCAACCATGCAAAAATGGTGCTCAATGCATACCTTTACAACTGGGCCGTTATAAATGCAAATGTTTGCCTGGTTGGGAGGGGACAAATTGTGATAAGAATATTGGTCAGTTTCTGATATTTTTGGCAAGAAACCCCCTTAATTTTAGATGATTGCACAGAAAATCCTTGTGCATTAGGCGCTAAATGTCACGATCTTATTAATGACTTTGAGTGTGAATGTCCCCATGGATTTAGTGGAAAACGTTGTCAAATAAAAGATAATTTGTGTGATCCAAGTCCTTGTCTTAATGGAGGTCAATGTGTGGATACACTGTTTGATAGGCATTGTATATGCAAACGTGGATGGAATGGAACATTTTGTGAGCAGGAAGTTAACGAGTGTTCCCAGAAGCCTTGTCAAAATGGAGCTACTTGTCGCGATCAAGTAAATAAAAATCAGAATTTTCGTTCTGGTTTTTAGAAGATCAGAATATTCAGAAAATCAGAAGATTTTTTTTGATTTTCAGAAGATCAGAATATTCAGAAAATCAGAATTTTCGTTCTGATTTTTAGAAATCAGAATAAATATTTCTTTATGTCCTTTTCATAGGAGGACGATTACTCATGTGAATGTGCACCCGGTTTTCACGGTTATCAATGCCAATATATGATTGATCATTGTGCCGTCAAGCCTTGTCGAAATAATGGAACATGTATAAATCGAGGCCCAATTTATGAGTGTCAATGCCCTCTTGGTTACGAGGGTGATCATTGTGAACACAATGTCGATGAATGCGAAATGATGACACCTTGTGATGCTGTTGGGACTGGAAGGTGTGAGGACTTGGTTAACGGTTTCAAGTGCCATTGTCACCCCGGATATGAAGGCACTTTCTGCGAACAACACGTTAGTCAGTGTGAAGACGAACCTTGCATGAATAATGGTACTTGTACTGATTTGGGTGCCGGTTTTCAATGTGAATGTCAATTGGGATGGAAAGGTCTTTAGCTGAATAAGCTCGATAAATCTTGAAATGTTAAGGTGATCGTTGCCAGGAAATGGAAACACAATGTGATCGAAAGCCATGCATGAATGAAGGCAAATGTGTCCCACTAGTCGACGATTATTTCTGTGTTTGCCCGGTTAGATTTTAGTTCCCACTCATAATTTACTTCAACTTAAGGAAGGTGTTAGTGGAAAGAATTGCGAATTGGCCCCGAACCGCTGCCTTGGAGAACCTTGCCATAACGGCGGTGTTTGTGGCGATTTTGGTTCTCGATCTGACTGTCAATGTCCAAAGGGCTATAGCGGCAATGGATGCCAATTTCGATTTGATGGTTGCCACGAGGGTTTGTGCAAAAATGGTGGAACTTGTGTTAACAATAATGACTTGACTAGGCATCAAATGTCCAAAATTGAAAATTCGGTAGCTGTTGAACAGAACAGTGAAGCGATTGGATTTAAATGTGTTTGTGCTCCTGGTACCCTTAAAAATCTAAAAAAAAAGATTTTTGACGAATTTATTTTTAAGGATTCTCTGGAAATGAATGCGAGATAGATATTAATGAATGTCAACCTTCTCCATGTCCTTTAGCCTCTCATTGTGTTGATCTAGTCAACGGGTATTACTGTAAATGCCCTTTCAATAGTGGGTTTTTATCGGATATTTACGGATTTTTGGATAGTTTAATGGTAGTGTATGCTTCCCTAGAAATTTATCCTTAGACTGCCTTATCCCTCCAGATTTTCTGGCTATCGAAAGATTTCTTTGGTGTGTGTACTTATCCCCACCCTTGTGCCATTCCATTATCTCACAAGCTTCAAGGACGCTTACACAGTCGCGGAACAAAAAATAATTTTTTCTTAAGTGACTGGTGCCAACTGCGAGAAGAGAATTGATCCAGACTATGATTTACGCTTTCTTGAATCTTCAAGTCAGCCTGCTTCAGCCAGTTTAGGAATTCCTTTCAATTTTGTCTCGAGTGCATTAACTTTGAATATTTGGGTTAAATTTGAAAAGAACCAACAAACTGATGTTTTAAAAGAACAGAGAAAATCACCCCCAATATTTTTTACTCTTTATAGCAGCAGGTGAAATTTTTCGAGGAATTTTATATTCAAAAATTATTTTTAATTTATATAGTTCTGCAAATCAACCAACAAATTTAACTGAACTTTTAACTATATCTTCTGAAGCAATAAATATTAGACTGTTTCCTGAGCTTGATAAACAGCCTTTAGTAATTTTTACTATTATCAGAATGTGAATATTTGGACTAATTATAGTTAGAGTTGTCGTTATTTTGGAAAATCTTCGGATATTCGAAGTAGAACAATAGAACTGAACCGAAAAATCCTCGGTTTCCGACTGACACCTAATAAAACATTTGATAATTATGAGTGATTATCAATTCCAAACTAACCCTACAATAATCACCCTTTAATTTTATTGACCTATGATTGATCACACATCATAGTCCTAAAGGTCTAATCACTTAGACTAGTCTTAATGATGCCCATAGTTGAAATTTGTCATGATTTGTGACCCAGATTACAATGTATCACTAAAGGATCATATCCATTTCATTCACATCCAATCACAATAGTTCTTATCAAAAAATATATTAAGGTTCTGCATTTCCCTATCCATCAACGCCCAGACACTCAACTTGCTTGGAACAATATAATATTTATGTGGGATTCCCAACAACAAGGGAGCTATTCCCTTTTATGGAATGCTGTTCGTCTATATTCTGATAAAGGATATGCTCCAAATCGTCGTTTAGACATTAATGCTTGGATAAACTTGGGCGATCCCAAGGGTATTGAACAGCAACAAAATCAGCTTTTAATGGCTAATAAAATAATTTCTACTGAATTACCTAAAGGAAATGAGAAAATGATTGGTACTAAATTTGTTGGGTCTATTACTAGAGTTAATATGGTAATTATTTTTGACTTTAGAATTTCTATAAAATTAGAAGGATCATAGGACATATCAGGGATCACAGGATTAGTTTGCCCTTATAAGTAGAGTGCTAGAGAGAATCTAGAAACACTGAACTCGAGTATCATCTTAACAGCAATCAAACAGAAAATCCAACTGATCTCGACTTTGGTCTCTAGAAAGGCATTTGCAGAATTCATAAAATGACTGTCTTTATAACGAGAGTTTTATTTTCAGTGGAATAGAATGCTAGATTTTGAAACAGAAATTCCTTCAATTGTACAACGTTGCCAAGGCTCTCCCGATCTCTACGAGGGACTATCATTACGATTCGCGAATTATGATAGGCTTCAAGGGAAGGTGGAAAGAGTTGCCAAAAGGTACATACATATTTATAGAGCTCTGTTGAGAGCTCTTTCGAGAGCTCACTCAGTGTTCTTGTTCATTAAAAATTCTAAATAAATTTTTCTAGTACTTGTGGCCGAATTGACTTGTTATCTCCAACATGCCATTCATCTGGAGATGAAAATAAAAATTTAAAGGACCATCAATGCCGTTCAAAAATTCCATCTAATATGAATGATTACTTTAAAGAAGAGTTGGTAGAAGTTGAAGGATGTCCTATGGAACCCATAAATGTTCAAACACCTTTGAAGGAATTAAATATTTCTTGGAAGGAACCGAAATTTTATGAGACTAGTTCAAGGGTTCAAATAGCCAAAATTGAACAGAATTTAAAGCCTGGACAAGTAAATCACTTCTCTCAATCATTAATAATCTTTCATTATTATGCAGGTGTTTACTTGGGGACAATATTCAGCCATTTATTTGGCTCTAGATAATCAATCCTCTCCTTTAGCTACATGTCAATTTAAGGTATTTAGTTAAAAGTATTCAGTCGCTCAGTCGTAAATCAGTATAAATACACATAATACAAGATCCCCTCGACTTGGATGATTATGATTGGCAGATCCGGATCTACTCTCCGGGTCTGCTCTCCGGGTATAACAGATCCGAATCTGCTCACGAATTATGTTTGACAGATCCAGATCTCATTTTTTCGGGCCGGCCCGACCGAGTCTTTTTCGGGCCAAAATTCGAAGCCCGACGCGATCTTTCGGACCGGGCCGGATCGGGCCCCCTACATTAGTTCCAAGGATTTGTCTTAATTTAACATACACCTCAGATAAATGGAAGTTTATTAGCCCCAAGGGGTGTATCTTATAGTAAGATCCGACTGCCAATTAAATAAAATTTTTTAAATCGAATTTACAGATAAACGTGGTCAGAGAATTTTGCCCAGATCCAGAAATACCAGTTAATGGAGTTCAACGCTGTGAGCAATGGGGACCTGGATTGCGCTATAAAGCTTGCTCTGTCCATTGTCAAGTAATCCTTGTTAGAAATCTATCCAATAAAATTTCTTTTTAAGAACGGTTACGGCTTCAGCCGCCCTCCCGCAGCTTTCTACTCTTGTGGTGAAGACGGGAAATGGCGCCCCAATGAGGGGAAACAACGTCCTTTCCGTTACCCTCAATGCACTCGGCAATCACCTGCCGAACACTTGGCTAGAATTCAATTAAGCTACCCACAACTAGCCTTGTGCAATCCTGCAGGAAAATCTACAGTAACCGAAAAAATAATTGAGAGAATTAATCAAATTAATAATAAATGGCATATTTGTGCTAATAATGAAGAAAGGTTATTTGGAAAAATTTCTTTTAATATTTATATGGAAGAAAGGAATCCAACTGGCTAGCATTTAAAATGCCCGCTAGCGCGGCTTTAAGATTTACTAGAAAAGAAAGTAGATCAGTGCACCGTTACTCAATCGGTAGAGCACCTACTATTCATTGTGAGCAAGAGATACCTTACAATAACTACGAGAGATCCTTGTATCTTAGGCAAACTATTACCTCTCTATTGCTTATAGTTTAACTAAGATAAAAAATGCTGGGATTTGTACAAGTTGGAAAGGAAAATTCTTTTTCAATTCCGAGAGACTTAGCAAAAAATTAAAAACACTTTTTCAAGCTCTGACTGTTCTGGTGTTCAAGTTCAAATTAATTGTCAAGACATTTTTGCCTCGGCACGTTTGAAAAGGCAAACTATTTTACAACAATTTGATGTTATAATTGATGGTTTTTAATCTCAAAAATTTTGAAAATTTTTTAAATTTAATTAAGTCCCAATCAGAGAAATTCAAAGGATGGACCCTGTAGAAATTATCCGCGACGAGGCAATGGCTCACGGATTATTTTCTCTTGAGCAAGTTATACCTAATGGAAGACCTGATATTGGGTGAGGATTATAATTAGAGAATAATTGTATATTTTAAAAATCAGAATTTGTAAATTTAAACAGAAATTAACATCAAAATTTAAAAAATCAGAATATTATTAGCTTAAATATTAAATTACAATAATTGAGTATTACATTTCAGAATTTATTAAAATCAGAATTTTCTAAATTAAATATGTAATTAAGAAGAATAACCTCATTATTTAAATATCAGAATATTAATTTAATAATCAGAATTTTCCAGAATTTAAGTTTACAAATCAGAATTAACATGACAAACCAGAATTTAAAAAACCAGAATTTTCTTTATAGTAATCAGAATTTTCCAGAATTTAAGTTTACAAATCAGAAATAACATGGGAAACCCGAATTTAAAAAAACCAGAATTTTCTTTTTAATAATCAGAATTTTCCGGAGTTAAGTTTACAAATCAGAATTTCTGCATCAGAATTTTAATAAACATTTAAAAGTATAAATTCAGAATTTCAAAAAAAAACAGAATTTAAAATCAGAATTATTAAATTAATATTAACTATATTCCAGAGCATTTCGAGTAGAAAATGCATTCCGCTGCCCCGTTGGTTACTTGCTAAACAACGGAAGTTGTGTTCCATGCGCACCTGGAACATTTTACTTTGTTCCAACAGGCGAATGCAAGGTTTCCCTATTTTCCTAAATCATTTTTGAATCTTTCCTGATCATTTAGCTTTGTCCTATCGGGCAGTACCAACCAGAAGAGGCACAGAATCAATGTATAGAATGTCCTACCGACTCTCCAATGACTGTTGGAATGGGGTCTATTAAACAGAATGAGTGTAGAAGTAAGGGGAAATTTTTAGGAATTTTTTTGGAATTTTGGAACTTAAAAAAATTTTTCTATAGTTCGCTGCCTTCCTGGGCATCATTTAAATATTTCTACTGGACAATGCGAACCTTGTAGCTATGGATTTTTCCAGCCCGATTCCGGAGCGTTTGATTGTATTCCTTGTGGAATAGGTAAAACTACATTGGAGAGAACGGCCATAAATGAGGACCAATGTCGCGATGAGTGTCCCGATGGGCAACAATTAACAGCTAGTGGAAGTTGTCAGCCTTGTCCCCAGGGAATGTACAGAACCCGGGGTCAGGACAAGCAGTGTGTGGAATGCCCAAGTGGAACAACTACTGAAGGGGTTGGGGCTGGAAATAAAGCGGTGAGTGAGCGAAGAGTTGAATTTAAAATTTCAAAATTCTTCACTCATAGTTATGTAATACACCAAAATGTGGGGCAGGTCAATTCCTTCTTGCTGACATTAAACGCTGTCAATTCTGTCCAAGAGGTACTTTCCAAGACCAACAATTACAATTTGAATGTAAAAAGTGCCCTCCTTCATTTAATGTATTTTTTGAAATTTTTTCAATTTCGGAAATTTTTCAATTTTAATAGACAGCAGAGGAAGGGGCAACTAGAGAGTCTCAATGTTACTCAACTGATCAATGTGCACTTGGACAAGATAATTGTTCTTGGAATGCGCAATGTATTGACTTGCCTGATGATAACGTAAGGAGATTTTTCATAAGTACAACGATGCCCTAGACCACCAAGGGAGCCTATGAGATACGGTGCCTATATGCTTGGAAGAAGATGCTACAGGCTCTTATGACTCTCCCAGAGTGACTCTCTAAGACTCTCCCAGAGTGACTCTCTAAGACTCTCCCAGAGTGACTCTTTAAGACTCTCCCAGAGTGACTCTCTAAGGCTCTCCCAGAGTGACTCTCTAAGACTCTCCCAGAGTGACTCTCTAAGACTCCCAGAGTGACTCTCTAAGACTCTCCCAGAGTGACTCTCTAAGACTCTCCCAGAGTGACTCTCTAAAACTCTCCCAGAGTGACTCTCTAAGACTCTCCCAGAGGAGGGGTCTCTAGGACTTGATTATAGTCTCTAGGACTTGACCTAGCCGCTAGAATAACTAAGCAACCTATCTTTAGCGAGCAAGTCTTTTGAATATACAATCCTAGATTAAGCTTAGTTTAGCCACCGTGCAGAACTCGAACCGGCGACCTCGATGCCAATGCTAGCTTGGAATTGCGAATAGGTAGCTTTGTAATCTGGGGTACAGTAAAAAAAATTTTTTTCTCCCTTTTCTCCTTAAAGAACCCCGCTTATGCTTTTAAAGGTTTTAAGACTAATCATTTTTCACTAAATCAGAAACTAAGGCCCTTCTGATATCCTTGGCAAAGCTTTAACATTAAGCAAGAGTTAACAGCTATATTCTTTAAATCCGTATCTTTAATTCAAAGGATGTGGCATCCTGGAGATGTGTTTGCAATCCTGGATTTAGAGGAAATGGTATAAATTGTACAGGTGAATACATAAGGATTTTAATAGTTAGTAAGAAAATATTATTTAAAGATGCCTGTCTAAATTTCTGCTTAAACGATGGAATTTGTAGGAAGAATAAATTGGGACATGTCGAGTGTTCTTGTAAAGAAAACTTCTCTGGAGAGCGTTGTGAAATACGTTTCCAGGTAATGGAAAACCATCTATCATTCCGGATTTTGTTACTAATCCTGTACTGGGAATCGTTTATTTTTTAGCAGAAATGACCCTCTTGTCAGTGAAACTTTAGTGCCCAACCACTGAAGAAGCTATGGTGCACATAGTCTTAAAGGGTGGACTATAATGTTTGCCGCCTTGTTTGTAAGAAGAGGGTCTTTAAGACTAAAGGGTCTCTAAGACTAAAGGGTCTCTAAGACTAAAGGGTCTCTAAGACTAAAGGGTCTCTAAGACTAAAGGGTCTCTAAGACTAAAGGGTCTCTAAGACTAAAGGGTCTCTAAGACTAGAGGGTCTCTAAGTCTCTCTCAGAGAGGAGGGTCTCTAAGACTTCACCGCCTAGCTCCGGAGCGGGCCAGTTGAGCCCCGCCGGTTGAGCGCCAGCCGACTTTGATCAGCCATAACTTTTTTGTGGTTGAATCACTATTAATGATTATTATATCATTCGAAAGCCCTCGATAAGCGGTATCTTTTTTCCAATGGACGGATCAAGTCTGATCACCGGTTAAAAAGTTACAAGTCGATAAGTGCAGGAAATCGTTGTTTTTCACACTTATCGTCTTGTAACTTTTTAACCGGTGATCAGACTTGATCCATCCATTGGAAAAAGATACCGCTTATCGAGGGCTTTCGAATGATATAAAACTTATTTGTATTGGATCAAGACTTAAAAAGTTTTAGCCGATCAAATTTCTCTGGCGCTCAACCGGCCGCGCTCAACTGACCCCAACCGCCTAGCTCTATTAATTACCTAATATTTTCCAGCCTCGTTCTCAAAAACTTGTTTACTGGACTGGCGCTATTGTGGCCGTGGTATTTCTCCTGATTGTTATTGTTGTAGTTATCTGGATGATTTCTCTACGTTTTAGTCGTTCATCAGACAATTCCTTTTGTAAAAATTTCTAGAAAAATCTTAAAAATTTTCTAAATTTCAATTTAGTGTCCTCTCCACTAGACAAACCAGCTCTTTCATTCACTCAAAGCACCACAGACTCTCCTTTAGCTTCCAACTTTCTTTACGGCCGCCCACCGCCTATACTCGACAGATCACATTCCTCTTCACTTGGAGGTGGTGGATCTAATTCTATAATTCACCCTATCGGTTTTTACTATGAAGATGAACAGTCTCCATATGATGGGGGTGTTGTAAGCGCCGTTAGCAGACATGGACGTGAAAATAGTCAAGAGGTATACACATTTTTTAAGTGCGTCCAAAAAGCTCGTCAATCCTTTTAAAGATGAAATCCATCTTTCTCGCTAGCACTGTACCAGATAACAACAACGATGTTGTAGGAGGTTCATCTTCTGCCTCACACTCTCCCGGTCAACAAAATAATGGAGGAATTAAAGTTACAGGGACAACGAATACTACAAATAGCAGTGGAGGGTTTGTTTGATACTTATCAGAGGTCGGTCGGAATTTCCGACTTTCGACATTCGATTTCGACATCTCCGTCATTTCTGACCGTCTTCTGATACATATAACAATTTAAAAATAAAATTTTTATAAATTAGGTCCCCTGGATCAGCTACAAGAGCATTAGAACAACGCTTAAGGCACATACAGCAACATATGTACAGACCAATGGGGGATGGTTAAATTCAATTTAAAAAATTTTAAAAATTAAATATAAAAATATATTTAAAGTATTAAATTATTTATCGAATTCTCGTGCCAAAAATTTATGTATAATAGAGATTGGAAATTATAACAGGAAAATAATAAATACCTATTTATAACTTGGAAACTTCGTAAGAGTAAAATTTTAAAAATTAAATTGAACAGCCCTCCAGAAATTCCAATCTCCAATTAATTATTTTAAAATTCTCCCAGCACATTTTTTGTATTTTTGTTTAATTTATCAACAAAATTAACAAATAAATTTTTACAATAATTAATTAATTATCCAATAGGTATCCCTTTAGGGGGCGTCATATCACTACATAGGTTACAAGCTTCTTTACACTGCCATTTCATTAGATCAAGATAAAGCTAAAATTTATTTCCTTAATTTTAAAAAGCTTTTTCTACCTCCATCTTGCAATACCCAGCTTTTTGTCTGTCAGGGCAGTTTGTTCCCAAATTCTGACAAACCCCACATTGGTTGCAGGTTTTTTTACAATCACGGTACATTCCCTCGTAGGCATACTTTTTTAGAATATAAAAAATTTTTTTAATATTTTTGAGCCGAGGCATTTTCGGGCTCCTTATTTTAGATAAGTTCCTCTACCATTAAGATACTGTACTTCTTGCATTAAGGAAGGGGGGGGGCACTGAATTTTGTCATATATATCACTTGGACAACTCCGTTCTATTATCCTATCTATTATCCTATGAAAAGATCCATTGCATGAGAGATGGGATAGAACGATATAACCCCAGACCCGAAGCACAACTGTCTTTTGACCATAAGGTTGGACCTCGAAGCACAACCGTATGAGCGGTTATTATTACTCATTCATATTCCTTCTGAAGCCAAAACAATACCCCGTAGCCATTCAAAATTTATTAACACTAATTTTGTGAGTAAATATAAGGATCGACTCTATTTTTATCATTAATAATACTTACAGCAACTATACAAAGGTCTGCTTTTGCCTCGCAATCACCCAAACTGTCAGTACAGTCTATAACATATTAAAATTAGTTTAAACATTATGCCAAAAAATTTTAAAAAATTCAAGACCAGTTCCTCCTCCTCCAGTTCCTCCGCCTGTGCTCCCACCAGTTCCTCCTCCTTGAGCTCGAGTACCTATATTACATAATTTTTGGCAATAGAATGAAGCCTACAGCAGTAATCATCCCCTGTTGAAACATGCATACATGTCTTTGATCTGTCGCTTTGACATACTCCATTAGTACACATACAAAATTATTTAAAAATTATTTGGATAATGGAAACGTGAAGAATTTTCGGGAATTTCAATTAAATTTTATTATTTGGGCTTAATAAAGTAACTAATGTAGCAGTATCAGAGTGCGTCCAAAAAGCTCGTTTATGTAATAAGCATTTTTCGGGATCGCTCCTCAGGTTCGGTATCTCTCAAGAACCAAAATATGTTTTTCCGTCAAATGATCCCTTTCCTTCCCTCAAACATTTTTTAAGAACATTAAGATACTTTGGAGTGCTATCAATCAGTATTTGAGTTTTTGCAGCGTCCTCACACCGTTGAGGACAACAATAGAAATTTCTATTGCCATTAGCATCAGTATATTGTTCACACCCCCATTGTGTGTTTTTCTGGCAACGCATTTCTTTTAATGCAGGTTGGGTTCCAGCTGTTTGTGGTACTCTTGTACACCTTTAAATTTAATTTTATGAGTTTATCGAAGCTTTACAAGAATGAAAATTTTCTAGAACCCAAGTCTGAAACGATATCAGGTGTGTGCCATCTCTCTCTCATCTCTCCCTTTGCCATCTCTCCCTTCGCCATCATCATCTCTCCCTTCGCCATCATCTCTCCCTTCGCCATCATCTCTCCCTTCGCCATCTCTCCCTTCACCATCATCTCCCCTTGCCATCATCATCTCTCCCTTCGCCATCTCCCTTCGCCATCTCTCCCTTCGCCATCTCCCTTCGCCATCATCTCCCTCGCCATCATCATCTCCCTTGCCATCATCATCCCTCCCTTCGTAAGCACACCCCTGAACTACATCACATAAGCGAGATACAAGACCTAAACTCGACCCCATGACTTAACATCGAAAAATCTTTGGATTATCATTATAACCGATACTATAGGGAGAAATCCGTAGTGCCTTTATAGCAAATATGTTGTGATTTTTGAATGAATAAAAATCAGATTTTAGAAACATGGGAGAGAGAAAGCAGGGGGTAAGGGTCTAATTAGTCCTGATAAGGCCAGTAAGGGCCTAATTCTCGATTTTTTAAAATTACTTGTTCGAAGCATCATTTGGATCAAAAGTGATTCCACCACAGCTGTACGACGCAGCATTAATTAATGACAAAAAATTATTTAAAAATAAATTTAAATAAAATATTTTAAAGCTTATTTTTAATTTTATTAATTTTATTAACATTTTAAAAATTAAAATTGATTGGAGGGGAAAATTTTAAAGCTTTTTGGTTAGCTAATTAAACAAAAGGATTAAAGTGGGCAATTAAATGATTTTAAAAATTAATAATTGTAGCGTATTAATGCAAGTTACGAGAACGTGTCTCTCTCCACAAGATATGTGTCTCTCTCTCACAAACTAGGTAGTTAGAAGAATAACTCAAGAATAGAATAATATTCTTTATCACAAGTGTACATTTTGTCTTCTGCGAATGAAAGATACTAGCAAAACTGGGTATTTAGTAGTGATGTTCGAGACTCTCGGTCTCGACTCTCGGCTTTTTGTGACTCTCGAACATCACTAGTATTTAGTAGTACCTTTGGGAAAATTTTGGCTTTCTAGCCCTTTAAAATTTAAAAATTTGTGCCAACGGCGGTAATTTAAAAGACATGGGACCTCTTCAAAGAATTTTTCCAAGCCCTCTGCTTATCAGACATCTAAACGGATTATTGGGTTATCTACTGAATCAGTTTCAACAGATGCATTTGTTAATGATTTAGTGGATGGGTGCTACTGGGGGCGCCACTCCTTACAGAAAACGCGCGCCACTCATTACAGAAAGTGAGGAGGAGGGGGCACTCCTTACAGAAAAATGCAAGAAACGGAGTGAAAGGTGCCTATTCCTTCACAGGTGGGGAGTCAACTGGACATTTAAAGGATTTTGTAAAGTTTTAGAGGTTTTTAAAAACCTTGATAATCATCAAACCTCGGATCTCGACCAGAATTTGCCCCTCGATCTCGGCTTTTCCAGCCTCAGTAATCCTCGATCTCGGTTTTGTAACTCGGCCTCGTGCAACTCTACTTTTAATAGATCTTAACGCCTAGTGAGCCTAGTCTTTCTCTACCTTACAACATTAATCAGGTCAGTGCCATCATGATTTGGAACACTTAAGGACACACTAAAGAATCTCTAGACTCATAGCGGAGACTAAATAATTTCGCCTTTCGTCTTTCGCCTTTCGCCGATTTTCGCCTTTCGCCCTTCGCCGTTCGCTTTTTAAATCGACTTTCGGCACACCCCTGGTATCCGGGTCTCAGATAAACGACATAAACGGTATACGGTATTTTCAAAATTAAACAGTTTCGTGTAACCCTAATTATTAAGCATTAACATTTATTAACATTTTTTATTTTTTTAAAATAAAAATTAAATTTAAAAGAAAATTTACATATTAGCATTAACACTTAATCAAACAACTCAAAATTAAAAAAAATAAAATTTAAATTTTCTAAATTAATTTTTATAAAATAAAATTTCCATATATGGCAATTTTAAAAATTAAAAAAAATTTTTGAGTAAAAAAAATAATTTTAAATGCATTCTAGTTCATTTAACTAGTAGGCATTTGCAAAATAATATTTTTAGGTATTGCTTTAATTTAGTGATAAAAAAAAATTTTTTTATTCGAGCAGGTTCAAATATGGTTAAACAATATCCCGATATTTTATTTTTTATTATTAAATTTAGCAATATTCAAATTTAGCAAGATTTTCAATTTAGCAACAAGTATCAAGTTAATAAATATGAGGCTCTACGCCCCAAAATTATTAATATTATTATTCATTTATTTTTAAAATTAATTCAAGTATTCATATACTTCTAATAATTTTTCTAATTTTTTTTATTGTTCACTACTATTGACTTCTGAACGTCCACTAACCCTTATAGAAAAGCTGTTTCTCGCGTCTGTCCAGGGATTCTCCTGGAGCTTAACCCTGGGAGCTTAACCTGGGAGCTTAACCCCTTTAGCTTAACCCATGAGCTTTAGCTTTAAGCTGTTTTTCGAGTCTGTCCAGAGATTCTCGAGTTTGTCCCCTAAATCTTTTCGATTCGCCCTAGTTTTCGAGTTTGTCCAGGGATTCTCAAAGTTTGTCCAAGCTAACGACTCCCAATCTTTTCGGGACACCCTGGTTTTTTCTAAATGTTGATGACCAATAGAGCTTCTAGAAAAAAAATTTCTTTAGCATATATAGCAGCTAATTAATCCCTATAACTATGAAGGAGACTTCGTGGTGTACTACCAAGCATTAATCATGCTAATTGAAGATGCTTATTCTCTCCTAGAAGATGCTGATTCACTCTAAATAAACGTTTTGCATTAACTGAAGGGGACATAGCTAGTCTTTGCCCCTATTCGAAAAAAAATTTGAAACGAAAAAGAAAATTTTTTTCCGAAAGAAAATTTTTTTCCGAGAGAAAAAAAAATTTTTTCCACATCTCTATCATACCCCTCAAATATTTTTAAAAAATTATGTTCTAAAAAATAAAAATTTTTTTAGAAAAGAAGCATGCTTATTACTATTCCCAATTTAATTATCCCCCTCTTATTATTTTTATTTTTTAAATTAATTAATTGTACAAATACACCCAACTTTAATAACCCTTTTCTACAACGCCCCAACATTATGGTTTTTATGGTGGATGATCTGGGGTTTGGGGATTTACAAACCTTTGGAAATTTGGAACAAGAATTTAACCCTGTTGATCAAATGATACGTGAGGGGATTAGATTTACTAATGCTTATTCGGCTGATTCGATGTGCTCTCCTGCACGTGCTGGATTTATAACTGGTACTTTATATTTTATAGGTCGGAGGGACTGGATAGGGATGGAGAGACTGGATTTTGAAAATTATGGAAATTTTTATTATATACGTGTTATACTGTGGAAAAATTCATTGGATGGGTGATGGAAATAGTCGATCATGGAAGGAGCCCAGACCGAAGCACAACCGAGTGTGCCACCATCCAACTCGATCATGGGTTATTTAGAGTTATTAAATGACGAGCCTTATATCCATACAAAATAACCTTAATTAATAATTGAAGGCCGTCTTCCTATACGACTCGGTGTCACAGGTGGTAACCGTGTTTTTATGATATATGATAAAGGCGGTTTGCCAAAAGAAGATCCAACAATAGCAGAAATGTTAAAAACCCATGGATATAATACTGGAATGGCTGGAAAATGGCATTTGGGAATTAATGAAAATAATTATACCGATGGAAATCATTTGCCTGGACGTAGAGGATTTGATTTTGTTGGGATAAATCTGCCTTATACTTTGATTTGGGAGTGTGACGAGACTGGAGAGCTTTACCCTGGAGGGCCTGACCCGGATAGATGTTTTGTTTATAAAGGAGACAAGGCAAGTTTAGTAGAAAGTAAACAATGCTATTAGGAGAGAGACACGAGGGAGAGCGTGAGAGAGAGAGGAGGAGAAGGATAAGGACTTAAAGTTGGGAGAAGGACTCTGAAGGAATAAAAGAGACGTCTTAAGGGGTAAAGAGATTCTTTTTAAAATGGAGAAAGAGAAAGTCCCTTTTAAAGGTAAGAGATCGAGTCTCTTTAAAGGGGAAAGATAGAGACTCTCTTTCAAATGAGGAGACTCTCTTTTAAACGTGTGGAGCGACTTTATATTTAAAGGAAGATAAAATGTCTTTTTAAAGAGTCGTTTTACTTGAAGTCTCTTTAAATTTATACCGGAAGTCTCTCCATAAAATAATAATAAACTCAAAATTAGATTGTTCAACACCCAACGACTTATTCAAATTTTACTGCTGAAATGCTTGCTGATTGGCGCTACTTTCTCAATAGTATAGCCAAACCCACCATCAACACCAAACCCTTCTTTTATTTCCACTTATTCCCCCATGTCCATGTTGCACAATTTGCCAACAAAAATTTTAAAGGGAAATCTGCGAGAGGTTGGAAAAAATAATTCTTGGACCAACTTAGCCCCTTTAAGGTATTTTTGGTGATAATCTGAACGAGATGGGCTGGTATGTCGGCGAAGTCATTAAAGATCTCTGGGCAAACAGACTTGCTTTCAACACTCTTGTAGTCTTTCTTTCCGATCACGGGCCTCACCAAGAGCTGTGTAATAATGGGGGATCAACAGCTGGACTAAAGGGTACTTTAACAGAGCTTAAAGTAATCCCCACATTTTGTCACAGGTGGAAAATCCAATACTTTTGAAGGCGGATTTCGTATTCCAATGGCTGCGTGGATGCCGGGCAATATTTTCCCTGGTCAAGTCTCCCATGAAGTTATCTCTGCAATGGACCTTTACCCAACATTCGAGAGATTAGCTACAACACCAAAAGCTAGAGATCCTTCCTATGTACCTCCACCAAAACAGGAAACAAGAAAAATGGATGGAATTGATATTTGGCCACAACTTTTAGGACTTTCGACTTCAAAGGATAATAAGCCCCTAACTCCTTTAATTGACCAGCGGCCAATATTCTTTTACTGCAATGAAAAGCTTTTGGCTATTAGAGCAGGGAAGTATAAGGTAAGATGGAAAATGAATATCAGGATCCAGAAGCAGGATCTCCAGAAAAGGGGCCCCTGATCTAAACCTTTTCCGGAAATAATTCAACCTTCGGAACAGAATAATTTGTCGGACGTTATATTCATTTTAAAATTAAAGGTCCATTATATGACTCAATTGATCTTCAGAGATAATACTTCTAATGTTCAGGAAAACTGTCCGGGAGGGAAGCCGAAACAAGAATGGTATTTACTTAGGCAAAGGATTAAGAAAAAGATTAAATAATATCAGGTTTGTCAGCTTTTTCTGTCCAGACGAGGAGCTTATCAAACACGATCCCCCTTTGATTTACGATCTGGACAAGGACCCTTATGAAGTATACCCTATAGTGGATGAAGCTACAATTAAAACCGTAACGGATAAAGCTTCAAAACTGATTGACGATCATCGCAAATCAATTGTTCCAGTCAAACAAGTATTGGGAGATTTTGATTATAATGGTTGTCTTTGGCCGGTAAAAATATTATAAACTTTTTTATTATATAATAATAAATTCTTTGGAAATATGAATGGAAAACTTTCCGGAAAAAATATAACATTTTTCTTCCGGAATGGATATAATAAATAAATTAGATATAAACTTTCCGGAAAAGATATAATTTCATACTTTTTCCGGAAAAGTATAACTCTAAAAATAAATTAAACATGAAACTTTCCGGAAAGAATATAACATTATTTTCCTTCCGGAATGGGTATAATAAATTAATAAGATATAAATCTTTCCGGAAAAAGTATAACTCTAAAAATTGTTATTAAACTTTAAAAATTTCAGTGTTATGGTGACAATTGCGGATGTTGGGCATGATCAAACTAAACATTTTAATTACTTGGATTTATGGGAGATTATTTTTGGATTTCGGGAGATGAACTTTTAAGAATTCTGGGAATCATAAATAAATTATTTAATACCTCATTTAACAATGGATTTTTACAAAATACTTTATTTTCTTGAAATCATTTATTAATTTATTAAATTATAAAATATATATGGAACAATATTGGATTAATAAAGCTGAGGGTGATTTTTCTAAATTTAATTTCTACATAATAAAATTTGTCATATAAAATTTTAAGTCTGCAAAATTTTTAGATAAGGATTTAAGGTGATTTAATATTCATATTAGTATTTTCCGGAAAAAAATATATTAATGCTTTCCGGAATAAAAAGGCGAAGTGAACTTTATAAATTTCCGGAAAACTCAAAATTTATTAACCAAAATTTCAATTTAATTATTTCATTGACAAAGTGATATGTTCCTCTTTCGATCACTATTTATTTTACACATCGGGATTGATGGTGAACGTGTCCTTGAAGGTTTTCCTTCCCTTGTTTGGAATGAGAGAGGCAATAATGGCAGCAAATGTGTAGGGGAATTGCTTCCGTTTTTGCTTCCTTTTGGAGATATATCCTTGACATTTTGATAGTGTTTTACAATAAAAATGCTTAAATAAATCTGGAAAAGCAGGGATTTATTTAAAAAATGATTTTGAAATTTTAGAACCTTTAATGGTACACTGAAAGAATTTAGGGTAGACCCGAGCTGGTAAATACTCAAAAGACTCCAATAATCAAAAAGAACAAAGTATTCGAAGCCTTTGAGGTATATCAACATCTAAATTTTTTCAAAAATATTTTTAGACAAATTTTTTAAATTTTACGGCAAAATTCATTAAATAGGTGGAAATTTGCATTATAGCGTGGACATTGTGTAAAGTTATCCAACATACCCACCAGATAAATAATTCTTGTTTTTGCTAAACTATAAAATAAAATTAAAAGAATTTTCTAAAAAATATTTTTATAATAAATTTTGAATTAAATTATACCCGTTTCTCTGCTAGATATAATAAATAAGGCATTATAAAGCCGGGTAGAACGAAAGCAATGAGGAAGCCATGAAAAAAGTAGAATTGTACTGAAAATGATATAGTATAGGTACTTTCCGGAAAGAGAATACTATAGTCTATATTTGTATATTTCCGGAAGGAACTACCAGAAATACAACCGGAAAGAATATACTAGAAAGAAAATTATCAATAAAATTCTGAGGAAAATAATGGGTATGATTCCGGAAAGAAAATAGAACCGGAAAGAATTTACTAGACTAACAACCGGAAAGAAACAATGCCTTCCGGAATTAATTATAAAAAACCGGAAGGAAAATAGAACCGGAAATTATAGAAACCGGAAATATTATTCTGATATACATATTATATTATAACGTTATAATAGCGTTAAATGTTTCGAAAAGAAAATACTATAATATATTAAAAACCGGAAACAGAATATAAAAGATGGAAATATTAGAAAACGGAAGGAATTTTTTAATTTACAACCGGAAGAAATACATTTCAAAAAATAATTTTCATTATTAAAATTTCAAAAATACCTTGTCTATCATCATATACAACATCTGCCATTTGCCGCATTCGACTACCATTTGGCATTTCCAAGTAATAAGTATACAGGCCGTGACGTTGTATAGCTGGTTTCAAATTTTTTAAAATACAAATGGTGTCGAGTAGTTGAAAAATAGCCACTAACTGAATTTTTTAATTAATTTAATAAATTCCGGAAAGAAAATACCGGAAGAACTAAACTTAATAGACAAGAGTTATATGTATGTTTATTAATTCCAGAAAGGAAATATTAGATTTTCAACCGGAAAGAAAATAACTCTAACTTTTAATAAATTATATATAATTAATTCCGGAAAGAAAATACAGGAAAAAATAAACTTAATAGACTAGAGTTATATTATTTGTGCCTATTGATTCCGGAAAGGAAATATTTTCAACCGGAAAGAAAATAACTCTGACTTTTAATAAATTAGAATTATACATATAATAATTATTCAAGTTTCGAATTTTTTAAGTTTAATCTTAAAGTTTAATTAAAGAAATAAAGTTTTATTTTCTCTTCAAGTTTCATTTCCAAGTTTTATTTATTTTTAAGTTTAATCTTAAAGTTTAATAAAAATCAAGTTTAAATATTCAAGATTGAGCTCAAACTCTAATAACTATACCAATAGAATTATATTTAACTTAATTTGCTTACTGGGCTAATTATAGCAGCAATTAATATTTTCACTGTGTTATGTATGCCTACACGCATAGAATGAATATAATTAGCTTTAATTGAAGACAAAATTCTTTATATTAATATTTACAAATTTATTTTATTTTTGCATAGAAAAATTTTATAATAAGCTTTTAGCCAGTTTCTCATGTTCAAATTAAACAGTGTTACGCTAATGAGGCTTATTTTAGTAATCCGTAATTTGAGTAAATTTTAAAAAAAAATTTTATGTTTTCCAATTTATTTATACATGCAAAAAGAAATTATAAAAATTTAGGAGAATTTAAATAAATGAGGAACTGGAAGTGAGGAAATGGAACTGACGGAAGTGATTTTTAAATTTAATTATAGAAAAGCGCCCTTTTTCTTTTTAATCCTAAAGGGATTAGCCTAAAAAATAAAGCTGAGATTGGTGCTTTTATTATTAAAAAAGGAGAAAATGGAGAAATTAAAATAAGGAAGAGGTCAATATGTATCAGGGATTTTACGGGTTACACGAAACCCGGCCCGACTTTTTTTCCAGAAACAAGCCGGACCTTATTCCCTTGAATCCGCTTGCTGAATAAGCCAAGCCCATACTTTTTTCGATACGAAACACGAAACCTGATCTAAAAAATGTGAAAACCTGATTTGAAGCCCCCCTACCCTCCGACGTTTTTCTCAACCCATAACATCCTTGATATATATCTGGGATCTAGCCGACCCGATCCCGATTCCCGAAAATAAGGAATTCCCGACGTTTTTGGGCCGGGAATCCCGATTCCCAAAAATCAGGAATTGAAATTTTATGCCGGCTAGATCCCTGAGTATAAAATAATTTACATTTAAGCATCAAAAAATTCTATAAAATTTCCAAAACAAAGCTTATTAATTTAAAAATATTTTAAAAATAAATTGAATAGAAAAGCACTCAAGGCTTTAGAGAAAATAAAAGTCACTAATTGTAGTTTTAAATATATATGGCTTTGAAAGCCTTTGAAAGCCTTTGAAAGCCTATAGTCATATAAATAAAAATAAATTTATGCCATGCCACACACGATGGGGGAAAGACAGCTGGAACGAACGCTGTCAAATTTTTTTCTTTTTTTTCATTCTCACGCTTTGGAGGTAAATCGGGAATGGCAAAAATGGAAATTACCAAAAAAGAGTGTTAAATAAAATAAAAAGCCATTAGTTTTGCAAATACTAAAATATATTTTTTTAATATTTTTAATGGATTAAGAGGGATATATTTAAATTAATGCCTTGGTTTTAGTTGAAAAATTATTAAAAATAAAAGTTAATTGAGGGAATTTTTAATTGTAGATCTTGAGTTATAACCAGGCATGGTCATGGATACGGATATGGATACTGATAATATCAAAATGCCTGCGGATATCCGCCTGTATCCGCCGTAAATATGCGGATACAGATACCAAGATCAGTATCCGTGACCGTACCTAGGGGCTTATAACTCGGTCCACGGTCTCACAATTTTATAACAAAAGTAGGGTATGATCTATCTGTCTACCAAATTTCATTCTGAAGTCCCAATGACACCTCAGACACTCTCTTTTGTTAGAGTGCCAAAGGTGCATACAATTTACAAATTTCGGAAAAGAATTCTTTAAAAAGTTAATTTTACAAATTAACAAAATATTACGTAGTAATTACAATTTAATCATGAATATTATGTTTAAAAAATTAAAAAAAATTTTCATTAAAAAAATTTTTTAATTAAAAATTATAAAAATTTATATTTTTTTTAATATTTTCCTCATCCAACTTTCTCCTCTAAACCTCAATTTATTCTATTTCCCTTAAAAATATGCTTAGAAAAATCCGGAAAGAAGCTTTATTTTAAAGCTGGCAGCTACATGCGGCATTCCTTTTTGCATTTTAAATCGATAAAGCTAAAAAATTCCAAAGTGCATTTTTTTATTTTTTTATAAATCCGACAATTTGGGAAGCTTAAAAATTAAAAAAAAATTCAAAATTTTTTAAAATTTAAATAGAAGATGACTAATATTTTGTTATTTATTCACTTTTATTTATTAACCCAAATGGCCCCTCTAATTTCATCTATTGGATATGGGTTTTCTGTAGGTCAATCACCTTGGGGAGGTTTAGAAAGTAGAGAAGGAGCAGTTTGCAATTATGTTAGTAAATATGGTATTCAGATGAATTTAAGGTAAATTATTAAGAAATTAAATTTTCCGTCATTATTTACAGAAATTATCGGTTTTAGTGTCCATACATGGTTTAGTGTTAGTGTCCATACATGGTTTAGTGTCCATACATGGTTTAGTGTCCATACATGGTTTAGTGTCCATACATGGTTTAGTGTCCATACATGGTTTAGTGTCCATACATGGTTTAGTGTCCATACATGGTTTAGTGTCCATACATGGTTTAGTGTCCATACATGGTTTAGTGTCCATACATGGTTTAGTGTCCATACATGGTTTAGTGTCCATACATGGTTTAGTGTCCATACATGGTTTAGTGTCCATACATGGTTTAGTGTCCATACATGGTTTAGTGTCCATACATGGTTTAGTGTCCATACATGGTTTAGTGTTAGTGTCCATACATGGTTTAGTGTTAGTGTCCATACATGGTTTAGTGTCCATACATGGTTTAGTGTTAGTGTCCATACATGGTTTAGTGTTAGTGTCCATACATGGTTTAGTGTTAGTGTCCATACATGGTTTAGTGTCCATACATGGTTTAGTGTCCATACATGGTTTAGTGTCCATACATGGTTTAGTGTCCATACATGGTTTAGTGTCCATACATGGTTTAGTGTCCATACATGGTTTAGTGTCCATACATGGTTTAGTGTCCATACATGGTTTAGTGTCCATACATGGTTTAGTGTCCATACATGGTTTAGTGTCCATACATGGTTTAGTGTCCATACATGGTTTAGTGTCCATACATGGTTTAGTGTCCATACATGGTTTAGTGTCCATACATGGTTTAGTGTTAGTGTCCATACATGGTTTAGTGTTAGTGTCCATACATGGTTTAGTGTCCATACATGGTTTAGTGTCCATACATGGTTTAGTGTTAGTGTCCATACATGGTTTAGTGTCCATACATGGTTTAGTGTCCATACATGGTTTAGTGTTAGTGTCCATACATGGTTTAGTGTTAGTGTCCATACATGGTTTAGTGTCCATACATGGTTTAGTGTTAGTGTCCATACATGGTTTAGTGTTAGTGTCCATACATGGTTTAGTGTTAGTGTCCATACATGGTTTAGTGTCCATACATGGTTTAGTGTCCATACATGGTTTAGTGTCCATACATGGTTTAGTGTCCATACATGGTTTAGTGTCCATACATGGTTTAGTGTCCATACATGGTTTAGTGTCCATACATGGTTTAGTGTCCATACATGGTTTAGTGTCCATACATGGTTTAGTGTCCATACATGGTTTAGTGTCCATACATGGTTTAGTGTCCATACATGGTTTAGTGTCCATACATGGTTTAGTGTCCATACATGGTTTAGTGTCCATACATGGTTTAGTGTCCATACATACATGGTACACTTCCTCAAATATGGCCTCAGAGAAGAGGTCTCTGGGATGTGAGCCCTCTGAACGAGGCAGAAGGATTTTAGTTGCCCACTTCACGAGGCAGGAGAACTTATACTAGTATAAAGTCTAAGGGTTTATTTCAAACATGATTTCACTAAAAACGATCAAAAGCATGATTTAGTGACCATAGACGGCGAAATAGCCTTTAAGAAGAAGAAGGTGTCTATGGGACTTGAGCCCCTAGACGAGGAAGAGGGACTTTAATTGCGCTCTCTTGATTTGCCGCCCAGAGAAGGTATCTCTGTAACTTTAGCCCCCTACACGAGGCAAGGGACGAGTTGCTTCCACCCTGCCCCCTGTTGCCACCAAATCTATAAACTATTAATTACAATTTAGCCATGAATTAATAGCTGAATTGAAGTGGAAACCTAACAAAAGTAAACGAAGCACACCCCCAACAACTATGCTAGAGTGGGATGAACGGGTTCAACTTAATTATAATCATATGGAAAAGCCTCAGAAAAATTGTTCTGACGAACATTGGATTTTAGAGCATTTATTGAAGGATTATGATAAATTTAGAATCCCAGGGGAAGGAAATGTACGTGTTGAGGTTGAGGTAGAAAATATTTTCGGATCCATTAAAATTAAAAATATTAAAGATTTGGGTCCAGGAAGTGTCAAAAATTATTGAAATTACGAGCGAATTCGAATTGGATATTTACGTCACTGAGTGGTGGCTGGACTCGAGATTGGCTTTTTCCCATCTTAATCCTTGCAAGAAGTTTAACTTAAAAATTTACTCAGCACAATTTTAATTTAAAGAAATATGTCAGTGGATGGTGCACGAGTATTACCTGAAATTTGGAATCCTTTAGGGTGTTTTGTAAATAGTAAAGACGCTACAGTTCATAAAAGTCCTTTCAGCAACATTTTTCTACAATTGTAAAATTTTTTAAATAATTGTAAATTTTACAGAATACTCTCAAAATATTAAATAGACTTGTTTACAATTGTAAAACCAGAAAGGAATAAACTTGTCAAGTTGTAAAACCAGAATTTTAAGCGAACATGTTTACAATTGTAAAACAGAATGTTAATTAAACCAGAATTAAAACCAGAATATTAAATAAACTTTTTTTACAATTGGACACCTATGTAATTGTAATAATTAAAACCAGAATATTCAACGTGTATTAATAACATAAGCACAATAAGATTTGGTCATGGATACGGAGATGGATACAGATAATACCAAAATGCCTGCAGATATCCGTCTGTATCCGCCGTAAATATCCGGATACGGATACCAAAGTCAATATCCGAGACCAAGTCTGACCACAATATACATTGAACTTGTTCTAAAATAATTTTGTTCTATTCTTTAGATATGAGAATGGCTCAGTATGGCATAATTACAGGCAAATAAATTTTACCATAATTTTTAACCAATTTTAAATTTTTTTCGCGTTTTTAGAATTAAATTGACTGGTCCTTGCTCTAATACATTCAATCGGTTTCCGATTGATCAACAAAGGTTTGTCTTACTTAGAATTTTTTAAATTTTATTTAAAGGTGTATGCTTTTCTATGAGTCGTTTAACCATAATTATGTAATTTTAAAAAATATTTTTTTAATAAAAATAAAATTTTTATTTGTGTTAAAGGAACAAGTCCAAATGGAATGGACAATGTCTCCAATTATTTTGCTAAAACCAAACATAACTTTGCCCGATTATGTTTTAGTTGACTTTAAGGCTTCCAGTGTTAAAAGAGTTTAAATATTAACTAGAACTACTTAAATTTATTTAAATTTAAGCTTTACCCACCCGGTATATGGAATGAATTGGTAGCCACATTTACTTTCAAGAGACTATATGGTTTCTATATTCTTCAGGTCATTTTTAATATTTTTTATTAAATTTAAACCAATTATATTGTTATTATAACGGTCATATGTATGTAAATCTTTAAAAATTTTTCTGGAAGTTAATAAAATTAATGTAAACTTAAATATAACTACATATGAGAATTTTGAGAATTATACTGATTATTTAAACTAACAATAAACTTTTTCCGGAAACATATAACATATCAGAATTAAACCGGAATTACAGAATAAACTCTTTTCTGAAAATAAACCTGTTCAGAGTTATAAGCAGAATAGTTAAACTTTTTCCGGAAAATTAAACTTTTTATGAGTTAAACTAGAATTATAAATATAACTATTTTCCGGAAACAATATAATAAAACATTACAACTGAAACCAGAATTATTAATAAACCATTTTCCGGAAAATAAACTTTTCTGAATTAAAACCAGAATTATTAAATAAATATAAACTTTTTCCGGAAACCCCTTTAAATAAACTCAGTAAAACTCTATCCTCTATATTTCCAGGTTTACATTCCAACTTATATTTCTGTTTGTATGAGTTGGATATCTTTTTATTTGGGCAAAGATAACATTCCTTCGCGTACAATGATTGGAGTAAGAATTAAAATAATTTTAAAAATTATCAAATATTTATAGGTAAATTCTCTTCTTTCTTTAACTTATCAATTCGGATCTGTCGTTGCTAATTTACCAAAAACTAGTGATATTAAAGCTATTGATGTTATGATACTTATAGCTATGGGATTTATTTTTTCTTCACTTATTGAGTAATTAAAAAATTAAAAAAATTTTTTTATTTTTTCCTTAGACTTGCCGTTGTTGGTTATTTAGTTAGTGCACAGACAGAGAAAAAAGAAAAATTGTAAAAAATTTAAAAAAAAAATTTTTTAATTAAAAAATAAAATTAAAGGCATAATTGTTGGTGGGGCTGTTTGTGCTGCCCAGAACTAACAGCCTCAAAAATTGATCAAGTAAACTTTCTTGGAAAATTTTTAAAATTATTTAATAAAATTTAGGTGTCCTTTATTCTCTTTCCCACATGCTTTGTTATTTTCAATATTTGGTATTGGTTTATTTTTATGGGGTAAATTTTAAAAATTACCCTAACATTTTTCAATAATTAAAAAAATTTTTTATTAAGAAGGCTTAGATGAAAATAAAGAATGTTTTTTGAAGCACTATTATGTATTTTTTGGGAATTTGAAATTTTAAAAATTCGTTAATCAGTGAATAAAAATCTGATAAGGATAAATAGTATATCATTCGAACCAGCATTAAAAACTGTATTTAAAAATTACCGGTTAAGATTTTTTCATTAATATACTGTAAGTCTACAATACCATATTTAAGTACTATTATGTATTTTTTGGGAATTTGAAATTTTAAAAATTCGTTAATCAGTGAATAAAAATCTGATAAGGATAAATAGTATATCATTCGAACCAGCATTAAAAACTGTATTTAAAAATTACAGGTTAAGATTTTTTCATTAATATACTGTAAGTCTACAATACCATATTTAAGTATTATTATGTATTTTTTGGGAATTTGAAACTTTAAAAATTCGTTAATCAGTGAATAAAAATCTGATAAGGATAAATAGTATATCATTCGAACCAGCATTAAAAACTGTATTTAAAAATTACCGGTTAAGATTTTTTCATTAATCTACTGTAAGTCTACAATACCATATTTAAGTACTATTATGTATTTTTGGGAATTTAAAATTTTAAAAATTCGTTAATCAGTGAATAAAAATCTGATAAGGATAAATAATATATCATTCGAACCAGCATTAAAAACTGTATTTAAAAATTACCGGTTAAGATTTTTTCATTAATATACTGTAAGTCTACAATACCATATTTAAGTACTATTATGTATTTTTTGGGAATTTAAAATTTTACAAATTCGTTAATCAGTGAATAAAAATCTGATAAGGATAAATAGCATAACATTCGAATCAGCATTAAAAACTGTATTTAAAAATTACCGGTTAAGATTTTTTCATTAATATACTGTAAGTCTACAATACCATATTTAAGTACTATTATGTATTTTTTGGGAATTTGAAATTTTAAAAATTCGTTAATCAGTGAATAAAAATCTGATAAGGATAAATAGTATATCATTCGAACCAGCATTAAAAACTGTATTTAAAAATTACCGGTTAAGATTTTTTCATTAATATACTGTAAGTCTACAATATCATATTTAAGTACTATTATGTATTTTTTGGGAATTTGAAATTTTAAAAATTCGTTAATCAGTGAATAAAAATCTGATAAGGATAAATAGTATATCATTCGAATCAGCATCAAAAACTGTATTTAAAAATTACCGGTTAAGATTTTTTCATTAATATACTGTAAGTCTACAATACAATATTTAAGTACTATTATGTATTTTTTGGGAATTTGAAATTTTAAAAATTCGTTAATCAGTGAATAAAAATCTGATAAGAATAAATAGTATATCATTCGAATCAGCATCAAAAACTGTATTTAAAAATTACCGGTTAAGATTTTTTCATTAATATACTGTAAGTCTACAATACAATATTTAAGTACTATTATATATTTTTTGGGAATTTTAAATTTTAAAAATTCATATATCAGTGAATAAAAATCTGATAAGGATAAATAGTATATCATTCGAATCAGCATCAAAAACTGTATTTAAAAATTACCGGTTAAGATTTTTTCATTAATATACTGTAAGTCTACAATACAATATTTAAGTACTATTATGTATTTTTTGGGAATTTGAAATTTTAAAAATTCGTTAATCAGTGAATAAAAATCTGATAAGAATAATTAGTATATCATTCGAATCAGCATCAAAAACTGTATTTAAAAATTACCGGTTAAGATTTTTTCATTAATATACTGTAAGTCTACAATACAATATTTAAGTACTATTATGTATTTTTTGGGAATTTGAAATTTTAAAAATTCGTTAATCAGTGAATAAAAATCTGATAAGGATAAATAGTATATCATTCGAATCAGCATCAAAAACTGTATTTAAAAATTACCGGTTAAGATTTTTTCATTAATATACTGTAAGTCTACAATACAATATTTAAGTACTATTATGTATTTTTTGGGAATTTGAAATTTTAAAAATTCGTTAATCAGTGAATAAAAATCTGATAAGGATAAATAGTATATCATTCGAATCAGCATCAAAAACTGTATTTAAAAATTACCGGTTAAGATTTTTTCATTAATATACTGTAAGTCTACAATACAATATTTAAGTACTATTATGTATTTTTTGGGAATTTGAAATTTTAAAAATTCGTTAATCAGTGAATAAAAATCTGATAAGAATAAATAGTATATCATTCGAATCAGCATCAAAAACTGTATTTAAAAATTACCGGTTAAGATTTTTTCATTAATATACTGTAAGTCTACAATACAATATTTAAGTACTATTATGTATTTTTTGGGAATTTGAAATTTTAAAAATTCGTTAATCAGTGAATAAAAATCTGATAAGGATAAATAGTATATCATTCGAATCAGCATCAAAAACTGTATTTAAAAATTACCGGTTAAGATTTTTTCATTAATATACTGTAAGTCTACAATACAATATTTAAGTACTATTATGTATTTTTTGGGAATTTGAAATTTTAAAAATTCGTTAATCAGTGAATAAAAATCTGATAAGAATAATTAGTATATCATTCGAATCAGCATCAAAAACTGTATTTAAAAATTACCGGTTAAGATTTTTTCATTAATATACTGTAAGTCTACAATACAATATTTAAGTACTATTATGTATTTTTTGGGAATTTGAAATTTTAAAAATTCGTTAATCAGTGAATAAAAATCTGATAAGAATAAATAGTATATCATTCGAATCAGCATCAAAAACTGTATTTAAAAATTACCGGTTAAGATTTTTTCATTAATATACTGTAAGTCTACAATACAATATTTAAGTACTATTATATATTTTTTGGGAATTTTAAATTTTAAAAATTCATATATCAGTGAATAAAAATCTGATAAGGATAAATAGTATATCATTCGAATCAGCATCAAAAACTGTATTTAAAAATTACCGGTTAAGATTTTTTCATTAATATACTGTAAGTCTACAATACAATATTTAAGTACTATTATGTATTTTTTGGGAATTTGAAATTTTAAAAATTCGTTAATCAGTGAATAAAAATCTGATAAGGATAAATAGTATATCATTCGAATCAGCATCAAAAACTGTATTTAAAAATTACCGGTTAAGATTTTTTCATTAATATACTGTAAGTCTACAATACAATATTTAAGTACTATTATGTATTTTTTGGGAATTTGAAATTTTAAAAATTCGTTAATCAGTGAATAAAAATCTGATAAGAATAAATAGTATATCATTCGAATCAGCATCAAAAACTGTATTTAAAAATTACCGGTTAAGATTTTTTCATTAATATACTGTAAGTCTACAATACAATATTTAAGTACTATTATATATTTTTTGGGAATTTTAAATTTTAAAAATTCATATATCAGTGAATAAAAATCTGATAATGATAAATAGTATATCATTATGGAGTTTAACACAATAGAATACTGGAAATTATTTATGCAGATAAAAAATACGAAAATAAAATCACATAAAATACATAAAAATCTGTAAATATTTGCATCGATATAATTATTATATTTGAAATTTAAAAATTCATTTTTCACGCGTCTGAAGGGCATGCCACCTGACAACCTAAAAAATTTTGGTTAAAAATTAATTTTCAAATTTAATATTTAAAATTACCGGTCTCCGAGTAAGCATCATTTCAGTCCAATGTTCTTGAGCAGCGAGAACAACTTGAGGGTTTTGTAAATTTATAGAAGAGAGAATTACCTTAAAATTTAATTTTAAAAATTTTCAAAATTTATTTTAAAAATTCTACTTCTCCAATAAAATCGTTTTTGCTCATTTTGTCATAATCCCAAACAGATATACACAAATGAACTCGCTAAAATTATTTTAAAATTAATTAAAAAAATATTTTTTTATTTTTTAACCTCCATTTTGTCAGCAGAAACTTTAAATTGAAAGCTTTCATTATAACTTTAAATTTAAATTTTTTGTTAAATTTATTTATTTATTCCTTTCTTACTATGGATTCAATGTTTTAAATTTTATTGCCGTTTTCTTCTTCGCCCACAATTTTTTGCCTTCATAGAGATAGATTTTTACATAGGGATCTGAATTATAAATATTTGTATGGGTATATAAGCAATCATGAATGGGGGTCTTTCCGGAAATTACTACAATTGTAAATTACCGTATAACCTGTATTAATTGCCCTCCCTCAAATACTCCACTTCAATTAATTACCCCATACAGCAATAAATCGTAATTACCCTCCAATAAATGCCCTAAAACACGTTTAAATTTCAAACCATGTATAGTTACCCTCCCTCGATTAATTCTCTCTTCGGCGGAAAGTCGAAACTATATTACCCAAGGTAGTTATTAAAGGATATACGGTACTCATGTTTTTATTTCAACTATCCGTCACTATCTTCGAGTTTATTTTTTTATATTCCGGAAAATTAATATACATTACAACAGTTTTACCATTTTTCCCGGTAGCCTTACTAATTGTAATTACAAATAAGTTTACAATTCAGATATTCTGGTAACACTTGTAAAATTATTGTAAAATTATTTCTTTCTCTACCTGAAGAACCGCTAACATCCATTTTCTTAAGATTTCTAGCTTCCATTATTGTAACTGTTAGTGTTCCTGTTGCTAATAAAATGTAAGAAATAATTTTAAAATTAACTTTTAATATCATTACCTGGTCTATAACGTGTTGAGAAACAAATATCACCTCGGGATTCCTTAAATTTTAAATAAGGTTACAAAAAAAAATCAAATTTTCTAAACCGATTCTTCAATTTCATGGGGAGCCTCAAAATTGGTCCATCTATCATTTGTTTGGCCAAAATCAACTGTGTTTAATGGCAATAAAATCTGACCAATTCTACAAAGTTTTAAGTTTTAGGAGGATAATTGTAAAAAAATATTAATTTACAATTTAAAATATTCCGGAAGGTTTTTACAATTAAATCATTTCCGGAAGGTTGAGGTATTTTGTTTTTACAATTTTCCGGAAAACATTTTTATTTGTTTCGGGAAAAATATTCCGGAAAGTTTTACAATAGAAATCTTTCCGGAAACTTTAAATTTTTTTTACAATTACAATTTACGATTCAACTATTACAATTTTCCGGAAAACATTTTACAATTTAATTTTATTTCTTACTCTAAAAAATAAGCTTACTGATCATCCTTAGAAAGCCGATCAAAATCAAACGCAACAAGTTCTAAAGTTTTGCGGCCAAGTTCAGGGAAAGGGATCTATCAAAATTTAAATAAAAATAAATATCAGCTTAAGATTCCTCACTTTAAAAACAAATGTTTCATTAAAGACCGGATTCAAACTATTTCTCTTTATTCGTGTCTCAAATTTGGGCTTTCGTTCTGGCGATATAGTCAATTTTATATATGGATCGCTCATTCCATTTCTATCCATAGCTGGTAAATCTCTACACTCTAGAATAGTCACAGATAACTAAAATTTATTTTTGTGAGTTTGTGAATTTTGAATAAATCTTCCGGAAAAAATTTTTCCAGTAATTCTATATTACTTTTACAATTTGTAATTTATTTTTTATGTTTATAATAATTTTTCCGGAAAAGTTTACAATTGATATTCCGGAAATTTTATAATTTTTACAATTTGTTTCAAGTTTATTATTTTTCCGGAAATATTTACAATCATTTATAAAGTTTTACAATTCGCTTATTTTTTCCGGAAAGTTTTAGAATAGTCAGTTTTAACAATTTACAAATTGTAATCTTTTCCGGAAAATTTTAATCTTTTCTAGAAAGCTTCCGGAGAGTTATGATTTTTTCCGGAAAGTATTTGTAATTTAAAAGCTTTTAAGCTTACTTTACTAGAAGTGAAATCATAATCAAGTTTTAAGTGCAAACTTCCATAAGAATCGGGTGTTAATCTACTAAATAATATAAAAGATTTTTAGCAGATTTTTGGTAATAATTAATTTTACTTTTCACAATTATTTGTTCCGTCATCTGTATTTGTTACTCTACTGCTTAATGTACTACTCGCTGTTGAAATTTGATGTGAAAAGTATTTATTAGGCGTTGATGTTGTTGACTTATCTCCAAGGGAATCCCTTGTTTTTGTTGGTTTATAAAATCCATTTGTTTTTGCGGAACAAGAAATAAACTTTAAAATATTTATTTGTAGAGTGTTTTTAGGGAATTGTAATCTTTTTACAAATTGTAATTTTTCAAGAAAGTTTTTACAATTTTCCGGAGGTATTTTAATAATTTTTTTGTAATTGAAAGTTACAAATTGTAATTTTCTCTGTAAAGTTTTAACAATTTACAAATTGTAATCTTTTCCGGAAAGTTTTGACAATTTACAAATTGTAATATATTTTCCGGAAAGTTTTAATAATTTACAAATTGTAATTCTTTCCGGAAAGTTATAATAATTTACAAATTGTAATTCTTTCCGGAAAGTTATAATAATTTACAAATTGTAATATCTTTTCCGGAAAGTTATAATAATTTACAAATTGTAATATCTTTTCCGGAAAGTTATAATAATTTACAAATTGTAATATCTTTTCCGGGAAGTTATAATAATTTACAAATTGTAATATCTTTTCCGGAAAGTTATAATAATTTACAAATTGTAATATCTTTTCCGGAAAGTTATAATAATTTACAAATTGTAATATCTTTTCCGGAAAGTTATAATAATTTACAAATTGTAATTTTCTCCGAAAAGTTTTAACAATTTACAAATTGTAATATCTTTTCCGGAAAGTTATAATAATTTACAAATTGTAATATCTTTTCCGGAAAGTTATAATAATTTACAAATTGTAATATCTTTTCCGGAAAGTTATAATAATTTACAAATTGTAATATCTTTTCCGGAAAGTTATAATAATTTACAAATTGTAATATCTTTTCCGGAAAGTTATAATAATTTACAAATTGTAATATCTTTTCCGGAAAGTTATAATAATTTACAAATTGTAATATCTTTTCCGGAAAGTTATAATAATTTACAAATTGTAATATCTTTTCCGGAAAGTTATAATAATTTACAAATTGTAATATATTTTCCGGAAAGTTTTAATAATTTACAAATTGTAATATATTTTCCGGAAAGTTCTAAAAATTTACAAATTGTAATTCTTTCCGGAAAGTTATAATAATTTACAAATTGTAATTCTTTCCGGAAATTATAATAATTTACAAATTGTAATATCTTTTCCGGAAAGTTATAATAATTTACAAATTGTAATATCTTTTCCGGAAAGTTATAATAATTTACAAATTGTAATATCTTTTCCGGAAAGTTATAATAATTTACAAATTGTAATATCTTTTCCGGAAAGTTATAATAATTTACAAATTGTAATATCTTTTCCGGAAAGTTATAATAATTTACAAATTGTAATATCTTTTCCGGAAAGTTATAATAATTTACAAATTGTAATATCTTTTCCGGAAAGTTATAATAATTTACAAATTGTAATATCTTTTCCGGAAAGTTATAATAATTTACAAATTGTAATTTTCTCCGAAAAGTTTTAACAATTTACAAATTGTAATATCTTTTCCGGAAAGTTATAATAATTTACAAATTGTAATATCTTTTCCGGAAAGTTATAATAATTTACAAATTGTAATATCTTTTCCGGAAAGTTATAATAATTTACAAATTGTAATATCTTTTCCGGAAAGTTATAATAATTTACAAATTGTAATATCTTTTCCGGAAAGTTATAATAATTTACAAATTGTAATATCTTTTCCGGAAAGTTATAATAATTTACAAATTGTAATATCTTTTCCGGAAAGTTATAATAATTTACAAATTGTAATATCTTTTCCGGAAAGTTATAATAATTTACAAATTGTAATATATTTTCCGGAAAGTTTTAATAATTTACAAATTGTAATATATTTTCCGGAAAGTTCTAAAAATTTACAAATTGTAATATATTTTCCGGAAAGTTTTAATAATTTACAAATTGTAATATATTTTCCGGAAAGTTTTAATAATTTACAAATTGTAATTCTTTCCGGAAAGTTATAATAATTTACAAATTGTAATTCTTTCCGGAAAGTTATAATAATTTACAAATTGTAATATCTTTTCCGGAAAGTTATAATAATTTACAAATTGTAATATCTTTTCCGGAAAGTTATAATAATTTACAAATTGTAATATCTTTTCCGGGAAGTTATAATAATTTACAAATTGTAATATCTTTTCCGGAAAGTTATAATAATTTACAAATTGTAATATCTTTTCCGGAAAGTTATAATAATTTACAAATTGTAATATCTTTTCCGGAAAGTTATAATAATTTACAAATTGTAATTTTCTCCGAAAAGTTTTAACAATTTACAAATTGTAATATCTTTTCCGGAAAGTTATAATAATTTACAAATTGTAATATCTTTTCCGGAAAGTTATAATAATTTACAAATTGTAATATCTTTTCCGGAAAGTTATAATAATTTACAAATTGTAATATCTTTTCCGGAAAGTTATAATAATTTACAAATTGTAATATCTTTTCCGGAAAGTTATAATAATTTACAAATTGTAATATCTTTTCCGGAAAGTTATAATAATTTACAAATTGTAATATCTTTTCCGGAAAGTTATAATAATTTACAAATTGTAATATCTTTTCCGGAAAGTTATAATAATTTACAAATTGTAATATATTTTCCGGAAAGTTTTAATAATTTACAAATTGTAATATATTTTCCGGAAAGTTCTAAAAATTTACAAATTGTAATTCTTTCCGGAAAGTTATAATAATTTACAAATTGTAATTCTTTCCGGAAATTATAATAATTTACAAATTGTAATATCTTTTCCGGAAAGTTATAATAATTTACAAATTGTAATATCTTTTCCGGAAAGTTATAATAATTTACAAATTGTAATATATTTTCCGGAAAGTTTTAATAATTTACAAATTGTAATATATTTTCCGGAAAGTTCTAAAAATTTACAAATTGTAATATATTTTCCGGAAAGTTTTAATAATTTACAAATTGTAATATATTTTCCGGAAAGTTTTAATAATTTACAAATTGTAATTCTTTCCGGAAAGTTATAATAATTTACAAATTGTAATTCTTTCCGGAAAGTTATAATAATTTACAAATTGTAATATCTTTTCCGGAAAGTTATAATAATTTACAAATTGTAATATCTTTTCCGGAAAGTTATAATAATTTACAAATTGTAATATCTTTTCCGGGAAGTTATAATAATTTACAAATTGTAATATCTTTTCCGGAAAGTTATAATAATTTACAAATTGTAATATCTTTTCCGGAAAGTTATAATAATTTACAAATTGTAATATCTTTTCCGGAAAGTTATAATAATTTACAAATTGTAATTTTCTCCGAAAAGTTTTAACAATTTACAAATTGTAATATCTTTTCCGGAAAGTTATAATAATTTACAAATTGTAATATCTTTTCCGGAAAGTTATAATAATTTACAAATTGTAATATCTTTTCCGGAAAGTTATAATAATTTACAAATTGTAATATCTTTTCCGGAAAGTTATAATAATTTACAAATTGTAATATCTTTTCCGGAAAGTTATAATAATTTACAAATTGTAATATCTTTTCCGGAAAGTTATAATAATTTACAAATTGTAATATCTTTTCCGGAAAGTTATAATAATTTACAAATTGTAATATCTTTTCCGGAAAGTTATAATAATTTACAAATTGTAATATATTTTCCGGAAAGTTTTAATAATTTACAAATTGTAATATATTTTCCGGAAAGTTCTAAAAATTTACAAATTGTAATTCTTTCCGGAAAGTTATAATAATTTACAAATTGTAATTCTTTCCGGAAATTATAATAATTTACAAATTGTAATATCTTTTCCGGAAAGTTATAATAATTTACAAATTGTAATATCTTTTCCGGAAAGTTATAATAATTTACAAATTGTAATATCTTTTCCGGAAAGTTATAATAATTTACAAATTGTAATATCTTTTCCGGAAAGTTATAATAATTTACAAATTGTAATATCTTTTCCGGAAAGTTATAATAATTTACAAATTGTAATATCTTTTCCGGAAAGTTATAATAATTTACAAATTGTAATATCTTTTCCGGAAAGTTATAATAATTTACAAATTGTAATATCTTTTCCGGAAAGTTATAATAATTTACAAATTGTAATTTTCTCCGAAAAGTTTTAACAATTTACAAATTGTAATATCTTTTCCGGAAAGTTATAATAATTTACAAATTGTAATATCTTTTCCGGAAAGTTATAATAATTTACAAATTGTAATATCTTTTCCGGAAAGTTATAATAATTTACAAATTGTAATATCTTTTCCGGAAAGTTATAATAATTTACAAATTGTAATATCTTTTCCGGAAAGTTATAATAATTTACAAATTGTAATATCTTTTCCGGAAAGTTATAATAATTTACAAATTGTAATATCTTTTCCGGAAAGTTATAATAATTTACAAATTGTAATATCTTTTCCGGAAAGTTATAATAATTTACAAATTGTAATATATTTTCCGGAAAGTTTTAATAATTTACAAATTGTAATATATTTTCCGGAAAGTTCTAAAAATTTACAAATTGTAATATATTTTCCGGAAAGTTTTAATAATTTACAAATTGTAATTTTGCCGGAAGGTTCTAATAATACTTATAATTTAATTTTTTAATCGCAATTCACAATTTGTAATTTTACCTCATCCCTGTAGAAATCAGAATGATCACCACTGTTGGTAGAAGGGAAAGGGAGGCAGATGCGAAAAACTCGCAACACAGAATTACAATTGCTGGTAATAAATCTTCCACTAATTCCGGAAGAGCCTGCTACTGCCCCGAACATTTTATATTAAATAAATTTGACTGAAAAAAATTTTTAAATAAAAA